CCAGGGCAAAGACATTCTTGTATTACTGTTATAGTGTTTTCTCAGTATGCTGCCATATTCAAGGCTAACATCTTTTCCTCACGTCTTGTTTAAGCAGAAGTTGTTTAGCTCTGCTCCAAAACGCAACATTAGTGATGCTGTCATGCCACTGAATTCCCTCTATCCTATTCTTTATAGATGCTTTAATCAACACCCACCACCAGTAAGCCCGTGAGGTCAATGAATAACTCGACCAATTCACAAATAGTCTCTCAATCAATCAGGTGCCGTCTCCACAATGAAGGTTGGCTGCAATGGATCTCCAACAAGCCCTGTCTCTTGCCACTCATACTGCTGTTCGTCCATCTCTTGATGTTATCCCCCCACTTGTAACGCTGTCTGCCTTTTGCACGCCTACCTTGAACCTTTCCCTCTAGGATGATCTTTACAATACTGTTATGTCTTTTAATGTGGCCAAAATATTTCACTTGTCTCTTTTTTATTTCACCTAGCAACTCTCTTTTCATTCCCAATTTCCTCAGTACCTCTGTATTTGATAGCTTTGTTTCCATGAAATACGAGCTAATCTTCTGTATATCCACATCTCCAAAGAACTGATACGATTTTCCAGTTGTTTGTTCATTGTCCATGTCTCTGTGCCATACAATAAGGTTGAGAATACATAACATTTGACAATTCTCATTTTTAATGTATTGCTTATTTCTCTTGATGTCAGTAACTTTTGCATGTTGTTGAAAATGTTTTTGGCCATCCCTATTCTTTTCTTTACTTCTGTTTCACTTCTGCCGTCACATGTTATTACTTGTCCAAGATATAAGAAATTTTTAACTTGTTCCAATTTCACCCCGTTCACTGTGATATTCATTGTTAGCTGATTATTTTCTTTGCTAAATATTATGGTTTTTGTCTTTTTTTCAAATTTATATCTAATCCAAATTCTGCACTCCTTCTGTTTACTTGCTCCACTAGGTCTTGCAACTCCTGCTCACTCTCTGCTAGCAACACTGTGTCGTCCGCATATCTCAAATTGTTTATTATTCTACCATTGATGTGCAGTCCTGGTAATTCTACAATTTCTTTAAAAAATGGTTTCAGTACATAAGTTGAAAAGGCTAGGCGACAGCACACATCCTTGTCTTACTCCTCTCTTGATCTCTATCTGGGGTGAGCAGATGTTGTCATATCTTACTGTTGCTTCTTGCTCCCAGTATAAGTTTCTAATAAGTCTGATATCCTTTCCATCTAGTCCTATGTTTTGAAGAGCTGCAATTAGTTGTTCATGTTGCACTCTGTCGAAAGCTTTTTTGTAATCTTTAAAACATGCATAAATATTTTTTTGAACTTCTATATATTTTTCAGTCAGCATCTTTAGACAAATTATGGCCTCTCGAGTACCACTGTTTTTTTACGGAATCCATAAGTGAAGTGGGAGTAATATCCTACTAAGGGAGATGTCCATCCCTAGTACACAAAGACTGGGACGGTAAGAAAGGCGGAAGAATCTAATTATATAGATCAACGGCTTGCAAAGCGAAACAGCAAAGTGTGTGGCACACATGAGGCGTGTTGGGACACGAAGGAAAACATGGCTGGCCATCGTGGAAAAGATTGGGACCTTATCACGTAGCACCCAAAGACAGTAATGGAAGCACAACAAGTTAGAAAAAGCGATGCAGGCACATCTTGGCCCCCTTGGAGTAATGCCTGTTGTAAATACAAACAGGGAAGAGACAAATCCTCTGTTGACTTAGGGTAGGGCATAATGACAAGTGCGCCTTAAATTCTTCTGAAAGGGCACATTCTGACAACGCATATCTGAAGAGTAGAAAGAGATGTCTTCGTATTGGCACATGGAATGTTAGAACGTTATATCAAGTTGAAAAATTTGACTGTTTAATTTCTGAGGCAAAGAATAAGAATTTAGATATTTTGGGAGTATCAGAAACAAGATGGACAGAAGCTAGCTGCCTAAAGAGAGATGATTACATATTTATTAATTCTGGAGGAGAACATCATGTCATAGTCTCTAGGACTCTATAGTGACAGAAATAGAAAGACAAGAGGGCGACATCTTAGAGTAAGCAGGAAACAAAAGAAAGAGTGAGCGGGGCGCTATATTTTTTCTCCATGTACTTTGGCGGTTTTCAACAGATGCCAGCGCGTGTGTTACAGGGAACCCTAAGAACAGCCAAGAAAAATAACTGTGTGAAGTATATATGTCGTAAGAGCCGACTAAGCAGGGTTCATCTGGGGCTGGCTACCCTAATTTCATTGAATACTGAAGTTGACAAACCAGATTACATATAAGTGTAAAGAAAGGAGAGTTTGACCTCGGCTGGTCGATGGTCTAGGCTTTATCACACAATACAAGGGGAAGCAGACAAAGAAGAAGATGTATAGGAAGAAGTACAAGCATATGTACAAGATGAAGCAGTCGAAGACGAAATGCAGTCAATGAGGAGGAAGAAGAAGAAGAAGATGATAGAGGAGTAGAAAAGGGAAAAATAACCAAAGATTACAGAGACGTGACTTATTTTTATCTTGACAACTGGCGCCATTGTCAGAACCCAGAGCTGACCCTATACTATCTGCAAACGGTGGTCTAGGAAACATAAAGTGCCACCGCCAGCTAACAGAACCGATTATAGAGGGTGCATAACAGAGTGATAATGTGCCAGTCAGACACGAAGAAAGGCAAGCCATGTCCCAAGCGAACAATGCTGCGCTAAAGCTACATGTGTCAATGACCAGATAAAGAAATGAGGAACTATACAGAGTGGTGCCAGAGGACCAGCACTCAACCTAGTCAAGATCTATCTACATCTCTTCATGGTTATCCTACAAGCGAGTTCTCAACAAGGGGCCTAGCCAACATACACAGGATCGACGATTCGTCCGAAGTCAGAGTAAATCTGCCTGAGTGTCCAGAAACCAACAGTCCGCACACAAATAAGAATTTGCAGGACATCAGAACCCTTTCTTGGCAGTGGTGAAATGTCCCAAGCTAGCTTCGTTCAGGCACACGGAGAGACATGATTCGATAACAAAGACTGTACTTCGAGGAACATTGTGGGGTAGTCGAAGAAAGGAGGGCAAAGAAGAAATTGAAATTACAACATCAAAAAACTAAGTTATCATACACTTATTTGCCAAGCAAAAGACAGAGAAAGATAAAGTGTGTTCCCATTGGTTCAGATGCCGACAACTTATGAGTACCAAACACATATATAATCAGTTCCTGCTGAGAATGAGATAATGCAATAAAATTCACTAAATGTTAAGAGTAAATAGAACTGCATACTTTTACAAAATGGAGTAACCAACATACAACTGCTGAGTCGCTTGCAAAGATTAAATGATGCATCAATATTTTCTATTATGTTCAGGGTAAAATGAGTAAAAAAAAAATCTGGGGGGGGGGGGGGGGGGGGGGGGGGGTAGTTTTAGACACGAGTGACTAAATCAATTATATGGCCAAAGAAGATTATCCACATGAAACAACAAAGAAAAATTAAAAAGGGAAATGAAAGAATAGCAGCTATAAACAAAAAATATTAAACTGGATTCTTTATCACCTGGCCATTAATGAAAACCTGTTATACTGTAGTGAAGAGAGCTGGGTTGCAAAGGGTTTAATTTACAAATGAGTTGTTACATTAAACAGCAATGCTTTTATCTGCCAAGGATCTTCATTACCGAAACAGCTGGATTATTTATACTCATGATGACTGAGGGTAAAACAAGTAACATGTCAAGAGGACATGAATATGAGTTACAGAATCTCACAATGCCAAGTAGGGCAAGATTACGATTCCTGGATATGGCTGACAACTGTTTAAATGAATCTGACAGGGGTCATTTGTTTAAAAAAAAAAAAAATATAAGATATGGATAATGCCTTAAACTCTTACAACAATGTTCAGGCTTCTAAAAGCTGGTAGTTATTAACTGCAGTTCAACCAAAAAAGGAAAAGCAAAAAAGTAGACCTAAACAAAAGCAATTAAAAAAATCAAAAGAGTAAGAAATGAAAAAATCACTTTGGATACAAGCCTTCGCCAGGATTAGCACAAATGGACAACGATTCAAATAAAAACAAAAATACAAAAAACATTTCACTTCATTCCCTGTGTGATTCTGGGGTCCCATGGTAGGAGAGAGTCAGTCTAAAACAACAATCCGTATACAAATAAGCCTGTTCTGAAAATTGATGAGCATGGAAAACTCATACATTAGAACAAGACATAAAGTCCTGAAGTGGATCAACAACCAAACTTTCTGCTGGAGTTTACAGCCGGTTAACGTCCCCAACAAAATTCACTTTATGATGAGGCTTATCACAGAATATTCAGACATGGTTAAACACATGCTTAAACAAAAGCGAGACTAGAGTTGTTAACTAACGCCAGAGCTTAAGATAAATATAATCAAACAAATTTAGAAGTTAGGAGGCAGATATGGGTGGATAAATAAAAATATGTTAGAAGAGACAACATAGTTTTTTTGTTGCTCAGAAGGTCACAAGTTTAATTTCAAATCAGTACTTTTGTACAGAGAACATGGAGAACTTAAATAAACTACAAACATTCATTAACTGGTGCCTGCGCAGAATAGAGGGAATTCAATGGTGTGATAGAATCACTAATGTTGAGTTTTGGGAGAGAACTAAAAGCATTCCCGTGGACCAAGAGGTGAAGAAAAGACGCTCACATTGGATAGGACACACAGTGAGAAAACCTGTGAACAATAACAAGACTGTCTTTGCACTGGAACTGACACGGGCATAGACATAAGGGCAGACACACAAAAAACACATGGAGAAGAGAGTTAAAGAATGAAGTTGGTTTACTCAGGTGATTCTGTTCCTTAACAATGGGGTTTAACAATGACATATTAATATGTTTTATTATTTGTGCATGTAGTATGTTTTATTATGTCATTAAAATTAGTGAGAATACAACAACCGTATCTACTGTACAGATCCTTCCAAACTCACACCTACCTTAGGCAGGTCTTCTTCCCCAATAGCACAAGATAAATCCGTTTCTTCAAATCCAGAAGGATTCATTCGTTGTTCTAGAACATTCCCAGACGGCGTGCCTGGTGGAGGGTCTGGAGAATTTAGGCACGTCTGAATCAGAGCCTTTCCACTGTCGCTGGTGATCATCGGCTGCAGCTTACGTGTAGCAAATGTGTACACATGGCCTGTCTCACTGGCAACCAGCAACATAACTTGTGTGCCAGTCAACGTAGAGAGCTCATATGCCTAAAAGAAAACACAAGCGTGAGGACGGTCTATTTAAGGATAAATATTTAAAACTATTAATACAATGATGTTTTAACAATAAAGGTTGGCTGCTTTAGCAATCGCTAACATTTGACCTGCTTGTAAACTATCTCACACTGATTCATCCTTCCCCTAGTATTCACGTTTGCTTTTTGCCTGCCTTCAACATTTTCATTTTTCTTCTTCAGTGTCAGCCCTAAAAAAGGTGGCTGGCAGTCATGTTGTGATCTATATAGCTAGTCTGCGATATCTGCCCCTCTCAGCACACAAAAATTCCATGCCAGCAAATTGTGAATTAGTCACTTTTTTACGACATGCTTGCAAAACAGCAGTGGGTCTGTCCCCCCCCCCCCCCCCCCCCCCCTCATGGGGCCCCAGAGCCCACAGGGTGAAGACCATTTTTCCCGCTCAAAATGGTCTTTGTCTTTTCATTTGGCAAACTATTTCCATTTTATTTTGTTTTTTTTTTTTATGTTTGTAACATAACTCTTAATTTTTTTTAATTCCCAAGCTTTCAAAATCCTTTTCTTTTTTCTTCTTCCCTTTCTCCAGCTGAAAGTTCTGTTTGCTCATCCATTTTTGGACTTTCTTGTGCTAGAACTTGAATTTTGCATGCACATCCATTTGTTTTTACAGACCTGGCTTATCTGTATGCAGACTGCTGGTTTCTTGCCTCTCAGGCAGATGGACTCGAAGGAACAGATGGATTCGAAGGAACAGATGAACTCGAAGGAACAGATGAACTCAAAAGAACAGATGAACTCGAGTTTGAATGAAACACCACTAATTAGTCAGCTCGTATGATATATCTGTAGGGGATGGGCGGGGTGGGGGGGGGGGTGTGGGGTTGAAGGGGGGAGGGGAGTGGGTTTTCCTCCACAGTGGGGCCAGTATCAACAAAACAGACCAAACTGTTTACAGCCAGTGAATAAGAAGAAGAAGCGTTGATACTGTATATGCACATGGTAGAAAACTAAGGTGATAGAAGACACCCTTTTGCCTCATTCCTGATTTTTACTGAGAACCAGTTACTGAGTTGGGTACTTTTCTTTTAGTTCACCCATCTTGTGGACTCCGAGATTTTGTGGGGAGTTTCCGGGAAAGTCCAATATTATGGGGTGGGGGGGAGTTAGTGTGTGTTCATTTCACACCCTAACATTGCTATACTACTGGACTTAGGAAGAAACTCCCTGTGAAATCTCAGAGTCCCTGAGATGGGGCGAAAAAAAGAAAAAAAGCTGTAACCTGTAAACTGAGCTATCACAAACTACACCTAATTAACAGGTGGGGGGAAAAACACTACTATTTTCAATACGGGCTATTTTCAATTTAAGATTTTCCAACTTAACAGGTAAAACTAAATTACAAACTATACTGGCTGCAACAAACTGATATGGTCCAATGCTGCACAACAAACATGCTGTTCAAACTTTTTACTTACATCTTTCTCTAGTCTTTACTTGCCTAATATTTCCCAACATAAATTCTATCTCTTTTGGTGACATGCCCCGTAAATTACCCTTATCTTTGTCAAATGATTCTGATGAGTGATCTTTTACCACTTATACCACCTTTTGATTATTCATTTCAGGTATTCACATTTAAACTTTGCACAAAAACTTTGAAGAAAGCCAATATGTGAGTGGTAATTATGTTTTTATATATAACTTTTCGGCTATCCTCCGAATAACAGTCCTAAATTATCTACGCAGAAAGTAATCTCTAACAGGGCCTCAGTCACGTGTCAATTGCGCAGTTCCGTCGCCTTGAAATGCGAGCCTTCGGCGACTTCTGCCGGCAACGAATTGCAAACTTTCTGCAACCTCCACCACCACCGAGAGTACTCCCCACGCCGTGTAAGCGGCGTGGATTGGGGCTAAACTAGATGGCTGGGACTCACGAACAGCAGCTACCGCATTTCCTGCAGCTGCCGTCATTTTATTTGCTTGTGAGTCCTAGCCATCTAGTTTAGCCCCAATCCACTCTCGGCTGCGGCGGAAGGCGCCGGAAGTTTGCAATTTGGCGGCGCCGGTATAGTCCCCGGAGGTACGCAATTGACACGTGACTGAGGCCCTGTTAGGGATTACTTTCTGCGTAGATAATTTAGGACCGTTATTTTGAGGATAGCCAACTTTTCTGGACAAGGTGATTTCTGAGTCTATGTTTGTACTGTGCCACTCTTCCAGTCTGCTGCCATTCATTTAACTAGCAATATCTCTTCCTGTGGGTTCCAGAGCTCCATTGTGGGGGGAAACAAGAACAGACCCACCGCCCCCTAACAAGCATGTTGTAAAAACTGATAAACCGTGTTTCCTTCACAACGGAGTGCATCTGACAGGCAAGAAACCATACGTCTGCACACAAATAAATTAGACTTGTCAAATGGATGTGCACACAAACCCCAGATCTGGAAACAATAATAAAGTCCACAAATGGGTGAACAACCAGACTATTCTGCTGAAGTTTTTTCATTTAGTTCATCTGGGTAAAGATTTGATATCACAGCATTTAGGACAGGCCCATATTTGCTATGTCTCCCTCCTCAACAGACAGCAAAGAGTTTCCATATTTCTGGTGCAAGTTTACAGTTAATCAGTGCAAAGAAGACTATCACTATATTCTGTCTCATGTTGATTTCATTATAATCTGTAACTGCTGCCTCTGAGCTTGTAAGGTTAAAGTAAAATATGGTTTATTATTTGTATGGATGTTCTTTTTCTTCTCTTCCTCTTTTACCGCTGTGAGTGTCGAGGGAGATATAAGGTTCTGTTTCTAGCTCTTCTGGTTGTATGGATGTTAACAGCTGTAAATTATTATATAGCTTAAACATAAATTATTAATTTTAACAATACTGCTGCAGCCCCTACTACCACTATTACTACTACTACTACCACTAATTATAATACAGAGGAACCTAGTGTTTTACTATATAATTAACAATGTATTGATTGGCACTTATAGTTTACTACTACTAACTAGTTAAACTACAGGTAGGCATTATTTTTCGTAACCTGCACTATTTAATTTTCACATTTATTAATTATTAACAGATGTATAATACAGCCTACTTACTACTCTTAGATAAACTGTTATCATCATCTATATTATCTGTGCAAATTTACTTAACTGAACACGTTTGGTTATTTTTATTTACCTCTGTAACTGAGTAAATGCTTTGTTTGCATGCTTTGGGAAGGAGTGGGTGGATTTATCTTAGGGTGTTCCTTCTTTCAATATCTGATCAAAACAAACTACTTTTTCATTTGATAAGTATGTAATCGTTATAAACACACCTGAGTCGTAAAGATTACACAGCACAGTGGGTACACTGACTGTACTTGATCTTTCGATGGAACATTAAACAACAACAAAGATCAATCAGACGAATTTACAACACTACAAACAACAGTACAACACAACCGTTGCTACTGCTGGCTGGCACCCTGGTCTGCTGTTCGGATTCGCTGCTTTTTAAATACTATATTTAGTTAACATTTAGGCCTACCTTTTTCATGATCCCGGTTTTCCGTTTGCTAAACGTAGTATAGCGCCTCAACTTGTTTTCAATGAATTCCATTTTGATCTTAACTCTCCCTTTCGTCTTTTTCCCCGGTTTGAGATCCGAACTGGAGGTATTTTGCTGAAAGCCATGTCCTTGACTGACTTGGCCAAAACCTGCCGCCGTGTCTGAATCAGAATCATCTTCGTCTCGGCTCGGGTCGACTTGTTCAAATATAAAGTTGTCGGGTATTGTAGTTTGGCTGGTCACATATATGTTACTGTTGTTCCCGTTTAGTCCTGTAACACCTGTGCCGTTGACTCCTTTGACTGAAAGGCTTGGGTGAGCAATGTTTTGCATCGTTTTTGACGTGAAAGGAAACTATACAATGAACTACCTTATTCCGTAGTTCACTCCATAACAGGAATAGTGCCCCTACAAGCACAATAAATTCATCCGCACCACAACAAAGTAATCAGGCTTATATTTTTTTTTTTTTTTATTAACAGACATTCTGTCATTTTCTTTTATTATATCCAGCTTTCTATTCCAACCTTCCTATTTGTTAAATTTTGTATAAATTTGACGTTTATCATAAATGGAGTGAATTAAAGATGCGGATTAATACATGGCAAGACTTCCTATACATGGTCAAGTCCATTTTAGGCGATGCCGGTGTTCCATATAAGGGTTTTAGGGCCAAATATGGCCACTATGCACAAATACGGAAGTATGGATTTTCCATTTAGATAAACGTTTTTAATCGCAGTTTCCTTTCCAAAAGTTCGAAGACAATTGCTACTGTTATACATTGTCAATTGTAAATGCAATGTGTATGCATTGTGTTTGAGAATGGTCAAATCAAGCATAAATAATTGTGTAGATCCGCGTTGAGCGAAGGTATTAGAGATGTATTATTTGTAATTTAAACAATATCCTGTTCAACCTCACTGGGTTTGTTAGAGATCTGTACTACCATCTGATATTTTCCATCTGTAGTGAAATTGTAATGATAGCCACACAAGACATGTCAGAAATATCACTGACAGACATACATGTTCGTCCATCATGAGTAATGAAGACCACTTTTCATCTAAAGTAGTAATGATCAATTATTTTGACATAGTCGGTTCTAGCTTTTTAAAACTTCTACTGGAGGACTCGGATTATAAGTACGAAGTGCTGATTAGTCCTATATGATTCCCGTGTGTGTTCCGGGCCCAATTGTGAGGGAAACAAGAACAGACGTACTGTCTGCCCAAAAGCATGTCGTAAGAGTCGACTAATTGGGGGTTTCCGTCGGAGTACATCTGCCTGCGAGGCAAGGAACCAACAGTCTGCATGCAAATGAGTCAGATCTGTGAAACGGATGTGCACGCGATGCTCAGGTTCTGGAATATGCATAGAGTCCATAAATGGACGAACAACCAGAAATTTCCGCTGGAGCTTACAGCCGGTGAGCGCGAAGAAGAAGAAGAAATCCTATATGAACCTGGAAATTTTTTGAGCAGTGCGGACTACAGGCCGAAGCCGCAGTAAGTGTGGGATTAGCGATACGATTCTTTGTAGTTTGCCCCCGTTTCTCTGCCTGTGCAACCTCTGCCTCCAGAACGGTCCTGTGCAGCAGCTGTGTTTATGCCAAAAGAACTTAGAGCAGTTTTATTTCTTCTTCGTTAGTTCACGTGAAATAAATTATCTATATCTGCAATGCTGTCTCTGGTATGAACTTCACTGTAGAGCAATTTTGAGTGTCCTTATATCACCTTTTCTGTCCTTCCTGTGACCTCTTTCCTTGCTAGAGCTCGCCCTAAAATACTTTTTGGGCGGCGATAGTCTGGCATGCGGGCTAGTTAACCAGCCCAACGCAGCTGATAATTCTTCAGTATCGTGTGGATGCTAGGCAGGTTTGTCCTATCAAAAACCACAGTGTCTGGGATCTGGCCATTTCAGGATTAGTGTCGACAGCCACTACACGTTGAGGGGTTTTCAGAGGAGTTAATCCGATCACTTATGGACTGAGTAGTTCGATGTGCAGTCATGATAATCTGTCGAATAACTATGCTGATAACACGATCTTATTCTCTGAACATTTACTCATAACACAATGTCGATAAAAGGTTCCTGTACTCAAACAGAAAGTGTCCATTATAGTAGCACTGAAGACAATTATGCATAAAAAAAGGTACCGATATACTGCCTACCGCCTTAAAAAAGCCTTGCTTAACAAACGACTTACAAGTGTTAGTGTTGAACTGACTACCGCGTGCTGGAGAGAATTTTAATTAAGCTGCAAAATGTGACCGACCAATCGTTAAGAAATCCGCGTGGTTCCGTTGTCCCATTGTTAAAAAAACAAAACAAGAACAGACAAGAATGTCGTAAGAATCGACTATTTGGGGATTTCTACAAAGTCGGAGTGCATCTGAGATGCAAGGAACCAACAGTGTGCATACACATAAGCAGCATCTGTGAAATTCGGTCCTGGAACAAAGCTAAAGTGTAGTAATGGACGTATAACCAAAGTACAATAAATAATTATACAGTCTAACTAACACTGTGTCATTAACATGGTGGATACATTGTTTCCTTAGTGTGCAATCATTGATTACTCTCCTAGATTTTATCTTTAGAGGAGCTTCTTCAAAGATGGTATAGGCATTCTTTACCCTTCTATATATGGATTTTAGTCCTAGTAAGTAAGTAAATTGTACCCCACAAGAACATCACACAAGCGATAAACACCCGGTGACACAAAGTGCCACTATGCGGATGAGGATCACCAGTAGAGAGGTCCCAAAAATCGCGTTCAACAGGCAGGCTATATTGCGACCCACGGCAAAAGCCGGGCTAGGGCTTCAAAATAACAAAAAATAACTTCCCACCTGGGGATGACCTTGTGTTTAGTCCTAGTAATAAATTGTTTGACCTTGCCACGCAGCTCTCTGTGGCTGTTGATGTGAAGCAAGTTTTCCAACGTCACAGGAAATTTACAGAGATTCAGGTAATGATTTCCTTTAAATTTGTCACATATCGCTCTCTGTCGCGTGTCTGATTTAAGGATTTCTCCTTAAGAACCAACAGCACTCTGAAATAATTATGTTGAGTCGTTGGCTCGTATTGGTCTAAGGGATGCCCCGTGGCCAATATACGCTCAACTTATTTCAGGAGTAGGGAAACTCAAGTTTTGGCACTACAAAATATATATTATTCCTAGGCACACTTGGCTGGACACCCCCACTACTATAAAAAGATAGCCCCCAAGTTATGATAGTTCACTATCATAACCATGTTAACACATATAACACTTATTGCTCACACAATCATCAAAGCTAGACAGTTAGAATGGTGAAATAGGGATACCCAAGTCAGCCATGAAAATTTGTGCATGTAATCGGTACAATATATATATATACATATAATAGTGAAAAGATCAACAAGAGTTCATTGAATGGAGCTCAGGAATCAATGACATTACCCAGATATTGAAGCAGCCAGATCGTGTTCCAGGAGAGTACATGAGTTCATCATCGGTCTGATCAGGTGCTGTGGGAATAGAGCATGAAGGGTGAATAAAAGATCACTTAGCCCAGTTCGTAGGTCCATGCTCCCCTCAGTCCATGGTGATTCGACTGTAGTTGACTCAATCAGTAGTTGGGCCTTGATTTGATCTGGTACCAGCTGACTGTCACGAGCTAGGACACAGGAACTGCACAGGAGCCCACCAAAGCTCTTGGAGACTGTGATGACCACTGCCGGTCTCACAGGTGATGACACAATTAATGCAGAAGAGCCCAACAAAGCTCTTGAAATCTGGTTCTCTGGATTGATGACATAGGTGTCTGCAATTGTCCACTGGTCCTGGAACTCACAAACAAGCTCTTGCCATGTTGAGGTAGTGGCGCAACATACAGGACTTTTGGGATACTCTTGGTGCACAGAATGGTATGGGTTGGTGGTGGTTGGCTGGACTGTGATTCGTCTGCCTGATCTCTAAGGAGGTATCATCCTGTCAGGAAAGAAGTCAGAATTAGTAATCAGCCTTATTCACACACTCTAGCTTATCTCACCTCTGCCACCTTTCTCCATCCTTAGAGTGTAACTCCCAAGAACAGGAGACAATGTCTCCTTTCATTTATCTGTCTGTAAAATAGTGCAACAGATAGAAACCAAGGTATATAGTGGAGATAGATAGACACTACCACACATAGATCATCCTCTCTCCACCCTCACATCTGCACTCGCAGACATACAATGTTTACAGCTAGTACCTATATATATATTCCGTCTCCACAGGCCGTTTACTACACACCCACTGAATCTGTGTCAAACACATCTTTGACTCAGAGCACCTAGCCCTGACTGCCGGTTAAAGATGACCTAAATTCCCTGTTTCAGTTATGCGACACAAACTTCGTTTGACTGGTCAGCGAATAATTACTTGTAGGGTTTAAAATCTTTACAAATGGCGTGGGTTATGTAGAGCACCAACTAATTAGTCTGTACAGGGGAAGGTCTAAGGTTCGGATCCTGATCTCTGGACATCAAAAACGGTCGAACTCTGTGCGATCACACAGCTGAATCTGCCCTATCTGCAGCAGTGGCCAACTTAAAAAAAGACATCAATTATGGTACTCGTAAACTATAATCAACTTACCCAAGCTTAGGAAATCTTCCAAGATAGAAATGGAACTTTGAATGCGCCAATTTCTACATAGACTGTATACACGTCTTGACACTTTGGGATCAGGCGAAAGAATGTAAATTAAACTAGCGTCTCTAGGAAAAAAGTCCCCTGTATTCCTGGCTAAGAAGTAAACCGGTTTACAGGAATTTCTAAATAAAATACCAGAATTCGCCAACCTACAGTTGCAAGTTTGAAAATGAAGATTTATCACAGCAACTAGAGGGTCTAGAAATTATTATTTTACCAGATAAAAGTATAGATCAATATACGGGACTATATACCTTTCCGGACGGGTTCAAATTTGAAATTTGACTGTCCGCGAGGGAAATCAAAGTCGCGACTCGTCCATTGTTTAGGGTGGCTGCTCACTCCACGACAGGATTTAATATTTCCCACTCCAGAAAATAGTGCGCTATATAGTATTGTATTTTTGCCATTAGACCATATTTATGGCCGGGCTACACTGCGGCCCCTGGCAAGAGCCAGAGTAGGGTTTCAATTAATGAAAAATTGCATCCCACAAAGGGATGACAAGACATTCTGACTACTCTCCACCGAACCACTTTTAAGGTATGGATACTCTGCGTATTCTGTTGCACTATCCATGTTAGGAGACGGCTGACAGGTTAGGTGCTCCGTATGCTTATTTCACGCTCACATCATTCAGGTCAAGAGTGCAGTTGTTACGGAGATCTTGGGAATCGTCATTGGAACGAACGAGTTCTTGACTTTTTTGTTTTGACGCTCTCGGTAGATGGCTGGTCATTTTGCGGAAAGAGACCGAGCCACGCGGAATGTTCTGGAAAAATGAAGTCTATCCTCTCGACTTTAACTCGTAAAAAACGTCGCAAGCTAGCTTGGTTTGGGCACGTGGTGAGACATTGCAAAGACTGTACTTCAATGAACATGGGGGGGGGGGGGGGGGGGGGGGGGGGGGGTTAGTCGAAGAAGAGGAGGGCAAAGAAGAACCTGGAATGGCAACATAAAAAAATGGACAGGAATAAGCTATCATACACTTATTCATCAAGCGGAAAACAGAGAAAAATGGTGGGTTTTATGTGCTAGTGCTTTTATCAGTACAACTCCACGACCCTAATGAGCCAAGGGTTATGTTACGCTGACTCGTAAATAGTACATTACGGAGAGGGGGAAAAACAAACTACTAACACTGTTTCCTGCGTAGATTTCTGAGCCCCATTGTTGGGGGTGGGGGGGGGGGGACAAAAATGGACCCACTACCTCCCTAACAAGCATGTCGTAGAAGTCGATTAATTAGGGGCTTCTTTCGAAGTCGGAGTGTATCTGCCTGATAGGTAAGAAACAGACAATGTGCATAGAAAGTCACATCTGTAAGACGGATGTGTACGCAATACGCAGCTTCTGGAGCAAGATAAGAGTCCAGGCGTGAACGAACAACCAGAACTTTCCGCCAGAGTTTACATTCGGCAAACGCGAAGGAGTAAAAAGACTGTTCATTGCGTTTTAAGTAAGATCTGGGCTGCAAATATAAAACAAAAATTATCGGTTTAATGTTGAACTTGTTTGTTCACAAGTTCTATTGTCTTCTCCGTTGAGTTTTCAAGCCAAAGTTTGTATGACAGTTTGTGTTCTGTTTTCTCTATGATAAAGACTTTGGTCGAAACGTTCGGTTGTATTTGTGGGCGTCTTTTCCATTCCTTTAGTTGGTTGAGCGTTATAGTCACAGTTTTGTTGTATTTTTTTCGGGTGGGGGGGGGGACACACACACACTGTCCATACCAAGTAAAAAAAAAAACCTAATTTAAGTTCTGAAACAAAACGAAAGTTCAGAAGTGGGCGAACAACCAGAATGTTCCGGCAGAAGTTTGCCGCGGGTAAAAGCCAAATTAGAACAACCGGAATACAGAATTGCATTGTGGGTCACGTCACATCCGGGCTTTTCGTAGAAAATAGGCGGAACAAGGAAGGTTGACTGCCGCAGTAAAACCCCAAGCGGTGTCTGTCGTTAGTGGCATGTCTCTTGCGCGGAGAATTATGAACATTGCTGTACTGAGGTGATGGCTCGATCACGATGCACTTATTGCCAATGCGAAATATTTGGACACCATTTACGATGCGCGGAATGTGTCGATTTTGACCTTTGTTTACGGGTAAGAATGACGTCATGTTTCATCTGGGTCAAGAGTTACACACATGTTCCCTTCTCTTGTTGTGTGTCGTTTTTTTACCCCTCTGTGTCACAGATAATTCAACTTGTTTTTGTCTTTTCTTTTCAGTGCTTTAGCCTGGGCGCCGAGGTAGCTTCTCATCGACGAGATCATTCTTTCACAATAAAGGTATTTGATGTTAGTGAGATAAGGGAGAATTGAAAGATATTGACGAGGGATGTTTCAAACATTGTTTATGTTGTTGTGCTGACACACTTCCAGTTTCATGAATGGGGAATTTGTGCAGAGAAGAGAAGTCGGAAGTTAGCAGACAGACGTGATCTTCACTGTAAGGCGACAGTACATTGTTTTCTAGATCTCTTCTTAAAATTGTCTAGTGTAATATATTGAGAGAGAGAGAGAGAGAAATATCTAGTGGAAGCAAAATATAAATAGCATCGGATTTTATTGTTTATATTGTGAAATGAATGGAAAAAAAGAAAAACGTTGAAGTTGTTCAACAGTAAATTGTGATACTGTTCTTACTGATAGTCTCATACTTTTGGTACCAGCATCAGAATCTCAGTAACTCAGAATAGGGTGTTACTGGTACGAAAGCGTTTTATGGCTGTCTTCTGAATTACGGTCCCAAATTATCGAGGCCAAAATTTTACCCTAACAGGACCTCAGTCACGTGTAAATTGCGGATTTCTGTCACCACCGAGAGTATCTCCTAAGCCGCTACGTACGGCGTGAAGTGGGGCTAAACTAGATGGCTCGGACTCATGAGCAAATAAAATGAAGGAAGCTGCATGAGATGCGGTAGCTGCTGCTTGTGATTCCCAGCCATCTAGTTTAGCCCCAATCCATGCCGCACGTAGCGGTGACGGTAGTCGCCAGAAGTGGCGAATTTAAGTTGCCGGAAGTCCGCAATTTACATCTGACTGAGGCCCTGTCAGGGTATTGGGACCGTTATTCGGAAGATAGCACGTTTTATCTTTACTAGTGATAAAACTTTAAAAAAAAAAGAGAGAGATAATACAAATGTAGAGAATCAGTAGCTTATTTTATACTCTTTCTGTACCAGGGAATTTAGGGTTTAGCATCAGAGGGCCATAGGGTGGTAATAACGTTTTACAAGTTTAGCAAGTGTGACACAATAAAACACCAGATCATCTTGCAATAATTTTGACGTGTATCGAGAGCAACCTTTCAGGCAGTAGTAGCAAACTGCTGAACGCAAAATTGCCTAGAACCCCCCCCCCCCCCCCCCCCCCCCCCAAGCCAAGAAATGCTCGAGTTGATTTTGAAACGTTCTGTGAATGATAAGCAGCTAACTTTGTTTTTTAACACATCTAATCAGTCCATACTAATACAACTGCTGTGCAACGATCACATATACATCAAAGTGATCAGGAAATGCTAAGGTATAATATTAGATTATTAGTACTACAAGTAACTGTTTGTAGTTAAATGTTAGTAAGTAAACATACTGCGTGTCCGTAAAGTGCACTTTTCACCGGTCACAGGAAATCAACAAAACAAGATAGAAATGTAAAATCTTCACTGATCTGCTGCTGCACAGTTTGCGATGTTGCATCATCACCTGTTTGCTCACACACTTGCACATCATACTACAAGACTGGGAGAGTTTGCCTTTTATTTGGTGCAGATTTCACATTTCTATCTTCTTTTGTTGCTTTCCTGTGTCCAGTCAAAGGTGCACCATGACTCCTGCCACATATCTTTGTCTTGCACTACAGATAATGGTCTGTATGGGCCTGAGCTGGCAGGGGATCTTGAAGTTGGTGGCTCCCAAAGATGCAGTGTCCATAAATCTTCTGGCTCTCATCAGCCCACCCCCAATGCATGCATGATAATTCATTTGGAACATGAATAAAACCTGCTGGCTGAGCTTTCTACTCTGTCACAGACTGGTTCAAAAGTCTGTCAAGTGGAAGAACTACTAAACTGTTGAGACTGAGCCCTAGACCAAGGGGTTTGTTCGCAGCCTAGACAAGCAACATCTCCTGCTGGCTGTATCTGCCTGTCAGTCACATGTCCTGCAGCATAACAGTAATGTCTTTAATGGCCAACCATCAGAAGTCCTACTTTTTGACCAGAAAGGTTCAGTTATCCATTACCATTGGCTTCACTCGTCAGTGTGTCGGGATCAGACATTAAAAGCTATGCCTGAAGTCTGGTTTAAACAAAAAATTATGTTGTGCTGTTTCCTGATGAAACAACAGTAAAGTGTCTTAATGTGCTGAAGAAGGATGTTGTTAATATGGGGGTGACTGCAGTCAAGCTAATACAAGGAATTCCTTGTATTAGCTTGACTGCAGTCACCCCCATATTTTCACCATTTTTGGAAGCTCTGGAATTCCTTGAAGAAGGATGTGCCCATTTGTGTGGTCGTTTAAGTCCTGTACCTGCAAGTTGCTTCCTGATGATCTCCTGGGGGTGCAGCCCATGATGAGTGGAAAGCTCAACATGCGGATGTGAGGCTAAAAAGTCATGTGCAGGGTGTGATGATTCTTTGGGGGGGCACAGGACCAGTTGGTGCTGCATTTATTAAAGTCTCCTTGGATGGGGAATACCCGTGATCTGCCCCTGCCTTCCTTTGATGGCTGACCAATCTGCACAAGGTTGCCCATGAGGAGTTTTCCTGGGGCAACACCTGTAGATAAAGGGACAGAGAGAACACCCAACTCATGACTTACAGAACCAAATAGGAATGCTAACTTGATGAACAGATGCCAGATGAAGTTGGATGTGTTGACCGAAAGGCGCATTTATGATAACTATGCTGTAAACAAGCACAACGCAAGTACATCACTCGGACAAATGAAAAGAAGATGTCTTGTTTAGGAGAAACCATTGAGCATCATTACACAGCACCATTACTTCATAGAACATAAAAAAGTCAAATGGTTTGGTCATCTGGTCGGAATGAAACAAAATCAACCAGCAGGCTCTAGGATAAGCTTACGCATGATACATGTGTTATTGAAACCCAAAGAACCATAAAAACCATTCAGAATTGCAGATTGATGTTTTTACACTTTCTAGTCACACATTTAAAACAAAAGATGTGTATGGCATAGACTGGTATAGCGTAATTATTTAGGAACTCATCTTGCATTAATTCCTTGATACAGAAAGAGTTACTATACTATTGTCAGGCCTTATGGCATTATGTTTTTAAGTCAGTCCTCAGTGTGAAAATTAGTGTGCACTATCTTTAGAAAGGGTTTTTGGTATAATGACTTTTTCACTGCTTTTTTTTTTGGTATCTACAGAATGTTATTTAGTTATAAAGTAAATATTTTAATAAATCTTGTGTTATTGTTTTTGTTTTTTTTTGTTTCTACATTTTTGTGCTCAGTAAAGTATGGGTCCTCAGGCTAAGTGAAATCATCATCAGCTACCTCCTAGTTTGTCAGAACCGAAAAATTATAATCTGGTTCTATCCAACCTTTTTCTCCTTCTCCAGTTTTCCAAGCCCTTGAGGTTCATTTCTGCAGATGTCTGTCTCCATTCATCCCTTCTGTTTCCAGTTAGTGACTCCAGGTGTTTGTAGGATGGCTGATAAATTATATAGCGCCCCCCCCCCCCCCCCCCCCTTCCTTACCCCGCCCAGCTTCTTGGTCTGCCTAGTGGTATACTCCTATAATATTTTTGTGTACGCAGGTTTTTCACTTGCATTGACAAACTCTATAATCTTGAATCAAAGCAAAGATTTGTAATCATATTGTTTAAAAGTGTCCTTTTTTGCATCTTCGATGTTAATTAATATTTCAGAATGACCATGGTCCGACATTATGTGAATTAATGTTTCAGAATGACCATGGTCCGACATTATGTGAATTAATGTTTCAGAATGACCATGGTCCGACATTATGTGAATTAATGTTTCAGAATGACCATGGTCCAACATGTAATTTATAAATGTTTCAGAATGACCATGGTCCTTGTGTATTTGAAGACATGGGCAGATGGTCTCTTGCAGAAGAGAATATGCTTCTGGATGCCGTTGAGCAGTATGGATTCGGTAACTGGTAAGAATTTAATTGTTAAAGATCAGTAGCATCTCTTATCCTCTTTGTTATGTCTCAACCCCAAAACACACTTAGGACCTGTTCGCGTTTCTAGGCCCATCTACACTCTTTCTCCTTCTGATCTAGAACATTGTACTGCTCTCTTCAAAAAGTGTCTCATGTGACTTAAGTTGAGGGTGTGGGTAGGGGGGTTGGGGTTAAGGCCAGTTCTGGGGGTTGTTGAAAGCTTTGTCATTGTGTAGTTTAGAACAGGCGACATCAGCGCTGATTTAATTGGAGGGAAGACAACATGACACCCCTCTGATGTATAAGAGTGAGAAAGTATGAATGAAAGGTCAGGTAGGGTATAGATAGACCTGGAAACGTAAACAGGACCCACACTTGAATTCATCATAAAGAAAGCAGCAGCAGACAATTTGAATATGTTAACATTTCCATATTTTGAGATTTGGTAGAGATGGCTGACACCAAGAATCTTTTCTCTGTTCTGCACATATTGCACTCTTGCAGCAGTGTTTAGCTGTCTTTTTACCTTTTCCAGTTACATTCATCAGTAACAGGAGCATACAAGACCAGTTAAATACCCTTAAAGAAATAAAGATTACCATAGTTTTGTTAAAATACAGTGTATAGTGTTGTTGAATGATTGTCATACATGTGCATGCGTTTTCTTAAAACATTTTGTTAATGGTTAGAGTGCATTTTAAATACCACCCTTCTTTGCAATAGATACATATGGCAACATTTTGTTATAACTTTTAGTGCTAATGATTTTGTGATTGCAATCACAAGGATGGGGGAGAGTTAAAGTTGCACATAAAAGGATATCTTGGTCTCACTAACTGGCTTGTTGTACGTTACCCTCAAATAGACTTCTTTGAGTGTGGATGTGAAATAGTTAAGATCGCTGCTAAGAGAGAAAGCTGTGGTCATTGTGCATCTGGTGCACCCTTTCAGTCTGGGAAACACTAAAAAATAGATCATGACCCATTAGAATTCCCTTAAAAAACCTGCATATACAACAGTCACTAATAAATTTAAAAAAATGTATCTGCATAAATTTTTTTTTTTAAACCATGAAATATGTAAAGATATATGAAGAGAGTAATCAGTAAACGACGTGAAACATTGAAAGGGCTTATACAAATTTTAGTCTCCCCGAACAAAGTAGGTCATGTTCCATTCATAAGTTTTTGGGCTGGTCTACCTTCCTGCAGGTTACGGGTGTGCAGCGCTGTTGTCTGCTTTCTGGGTTGTCTTGCATTTACGTTTTTATTCTGAGGAAGAGAATGCATGTGACATAGGTTTCATCACATCTCTAAAGGGGATTTGTATTAGACCCAGTTTGTCAATGCTTTTGGAGTATTAAAAGCTCTAGCCTTCTGAAATATACAACATGCGATATCAACAGCATTGCAAGAAAACTTCACAACCTTGTGGGAGGGTAATGTGGCTCAATGTCGACCAATAAGAAGTGAGCTAGGCTGAAAGTCAACCAATCAGAAGTGAGCTAGTGTGTAACGCTGTAAATGGAGAGACTGACGTTAGTTTTACCTTGAAAGGATTACATTCTCCATTTCCTTAAAAAGCACATGTATTGAGTCACTCATGTGACCCCGTGAGCTCTGTCACTGGGGCTCACTCACTAGAAGATCTGACATCAGCTTGGCTGTAAAAATGCCATTTAGCTCACAGGGCCATCCCTCCCTCTCCCCCCCCCCCCAATCTTCCATGCTATTGTTAGTTAATTTATTCATATCCTGACATCCTAAACATTTTTGCAAGCACAGACTCTGTCAATAACATTAACTGTGTCTTGTAAACAGGACCCTATAGGCAAGTTAGGAAAGTGACATTTATGGGGAATTGGAAGTGTTGGTTTTTCGGCTTCTCATGGCGAAATGGTTAAAGCTACCAGGCAAAATGTTTGCCATTTATTCTCCTCATGCACCACAGGAACTTGCAGTTTTTTTTTATTGCGTCTCTAGAGTTAAGTGACCAAAAACCATAGATAGAAAAGCTCCATGCACTCACCCGACTCCCATGTCAAGCCTAGATGATGTTCTGTGAAAGTTTGGCCCACTACATCAGTGTAACATGAGCATTCAGTTGTCCAATATGAGACACATATGCTCCCTCGAAGTCGGAGTACATCTGCCGGTGAGGCAGGGAACGGCAAACAAATAAGCCAGTAAAACGGATGTACACACAAAACTCAGGTCCAGGTAAAAGACAAAAATCCAAATGGACAAACTACCGGGACCTTCCTTTGGAATTCATTGCCGGAGAAATAAGAAGAAGAAGACAAATTTTCCCTGTGTCGGATGTGGGGGGGGGGGGGGGGGGGTTGTATGTTATACAGCCACTGCCTCCTTAACAATCATGTTGTGAGAGTCGACTGATTAGGGGTTTTCTTTGAAGTCATAATGCAGCTGCCTGAGAGTTAAGGAGCCACCAGATGGCATACAAACATGCCAGATTTGATTTGATTCAAGAACCAACATCACAGCACTCCGGGCATTCCCATAAGCGCTCCGTCCCCATCTTCAGCAGCCAGCGAAGAGTTCCCATACTAATAGTGCCAGTAGCATTCTGATTAAACGTCCGTCTTGCCTTCCCTCTGAACCTCGAGCACCTGCCAGAACCTCTTGTCACTCCCCGCTGCATCAGTCTTACCAGACTGGTGATCCATCTGCTCCTCTGAACTGTACACAAACATGCAAGATCTGTAAAATGAATGTGCATGCAAAACTCATCAGCTGACTCCCAAATCATGACTAAATAATGTTAATTAATTAAGTATATTACCAAATAATGAAACAGTTCAAATGTCTATTGATCATTTGTTCAGCTAAATAACCAGCTGGTTCATTGTTCATTAAGTCTCTCCGGTGAAGTAGTTAAGCGAAACGCCTTGTTCTCTGAAGGTTGTCTGTTCAGTTTTGGATAAAATCCTTTGGTTTATAAGTGCAGATGTTTGAGATCTCTGATAGTCGTCACTGGAGCTACGGAATTTTGGGTTTGTGCAATGCCCTTATCACATAAACAGCAGCTCTGTGGAGGAAGAATCTGACATATGAATAAAACCTAGTACAATACAAATTTGAATAAAACCTGGTGTGATCCTTTCTTTTCTACTGTGTCCCAGAATGAAGCATAGCCTCAGGCAGATCATCCTACCCTTTGTCTCGCATGCAGGTTACCTCCCTGCCCCCCTCATATTTTAACCTCATCAAATTAAATTTGAAAATGTATCCTTATGGCAGGAACAATATTGCTAGTCACTGTACAGAAAGTGGCTGCTCTTACAAATTTGAGAGGTAGATTATCTGCTGTAGCCTGCAAAGAGTATTGCTTAGATGTTAGGCTAAGCAAGTCTGAAAACAGTGGAGAGTGTAACAAAAAAAGCCATGAAGTAACACAACACAAACTATGATCAGAAAGCTAATCATGATGGAAATTTTTCTACTTTTGCATTCCTGCTTTAAAAGGGCCGTTGGCATATTGTGTTGTGGTTTACAGCCAGGCTTTGATATCTATGAATGTCAGCACCCCAACACATCTGATTTCAGTAAACACTTAATAAGCCACCTTTTACTACATGCTTGTTATCGAGACAGTGAGCCTATATCCTCGCCCTTCCAGAAAGAAATTGGGCTCAGGAACCCATACGGGGAGGCAGAAAATGAGATAGTGCATTCAAGTAAAACTTGTTAGTTGGTTTATGATTTCTGTTTTTTAATTCATTGATAAAGAGTTTGATGTCATGTATAAACTCACCCCAATCTTAAAAAAACTTAGTTATTCCACCGGAGCTAAAAGACAAATGCAATCCTTAAACCAACTTTAGGTTGCCAGTGTCAGACTTAGACGTTGAACAAATAACATGAGAGAAAACTAACCACATGTAAAGGTAGCTGTTTGAGCAAAGTTGTAAACAAAAGCTGAGGATATGTGAGAAATTAAGAGATTAGAAGAACTATTGGAACAGTACCCAAGGTTAAATTCACTGAGAAACAGAGATGTAAGTGGGTTGATAACCTAATAAGAATTAATCCAACAGTTTTGGTGGCGAGGTGTACATGGAAATTGAAACACCAAGAGGTAGAAGAGAAACCTAGAAAAAGATGGACTGCAGAAGCCGCTGACAACCTGAGACTTCAAAACATACACCAAGCAACTGAGCCTGCTATGACTCAGCTACCGATCATCTGTTGAACGGATGCCTGGCAGCACAAAGCAGATATTTTGTTGCTTGTTATCCAACATACATCCTAGCAGATCAGTCCGACCCATTCATGCTTTGACCTCCAATGCAGCACCATCTCCGTGTCTCCATGCTCTCTGTACCCTGTAGGAGTTAACTGGCATATCTTCTTTTGTTACCCCACACCAATTCCTGCATGCTTGTTCTTGTTTAATATCCACTTCCAATAGGGGTTTCATCATCTCAGACTCCTTCATTTCAACACCTCTGGGATCCAGCACACTTAGCATGTCTGCCCTGTCCAGATGTTTTCAAAGGAAAGACTTTTCCAAAATCATTTAGTTGTATTTGTGTGCATCTTTTTCTATCACTTCATCATGCCTACTAGTCACAGTCTGTGTTGTTAAATTACTTCTTAAGGTCAACTTCACTGCAGTCATCCCAGTTTTTGACATCATTGTTTCATACTTATTGAAGAGATACTTTCTGCTGCACCTTCACGTGGTGGAGAATGGGAAACATGTAGTCATAAAGCAAATAGATTTGTGACAATATCCTCCAGTAAAGACAAATATGAACAGCTCACAGAAGCCAGCTTCAGGCCTCAGAAATGAAATATCTGAGAAAGGTGGTCAAAGTGACAAGAAGGGACGAAATTCATAATAAGACAGTACATCAGGATCTTGAAACCCAAGCCTTGCAAACTCGAGTGGGTCAGTCACAGTTACGATGGTTTGGACATGTATGCAGAATGGGAGAAAGTTAGCCACCATGGGAGGCTAAGAACCAGGGTACGACCAGACCTCCTGGATGACCCACGGTCTGCTAGAAAGGCAACATCTGACAGTCCCTGACTGACAAAGGACTGCAATGGAACAAAACGAGAAAGAAAACTGCTGATAGAGAAGTCTGGCTATCTCTCTGGCAAACTTCAGGATCCCAGTGTAGAAGAAGAGCGACTAAGTAAGTAAGTTGAACAGGGCGCTTACCTGTTGTGATAGTTGTAAGATTTGTGAATGCTTTACAGTATGTTGGAGAACCAAGCTCAGCATTTATTTTGGTTTTACTGGGCACTTTTACATTCAATAGTTTGCCATTGCCTTTTTGGACAGTCGACTCTCGATACCGCTTTCGAAATCATTGCAGCAATGTCTACTGCCAAATTTTTGCAGCTGGAATTGAACCGAGCGCCTCATAGTTATGAAGTGCTTTGCAATGCCTAAGTCACAGACGCCACCACTAGTTGTAAATTACTTTTAAAATAAAATGAAGGGTTACCTGCTGTGGATGTGGAATTCCATTTTAAGCTACATTTCCCCCCAGATTTTTAATAAATTAAGAAAATCAGACAGAACAGCTGTTAAAGTCTGTTTTAAGACTCTTGACAAAGCAGCCATATGCAGGATATGATGATTTTTTTTTAGTTAGTCTAGAATCAGAACATCATTTTTCAGCAGTACATTTATGAAAACCTTGAACAGTAGGAAGTGTCCATGTGTTGACTGTTTTTCCTTTGAAGGTCAAATGGGATACTGCATCTGCTGTAGATAGGATGGGCACAGATGGCATCACCACAATGAATCTGGAGTGTTTTACAAAACTAGACACGAAGGAAAGATGAATCCCACAATTTAGATGATAAGTCAGATGAGGTAGCCAGAGGATGGAAGTACTGTCGTAGCTCTGCTGTAAGCCAACACAGTGATTTATGTCAGTCACAGTTCTGACTTCACACCAACAGGGCAACATACAATTGCTCTGCTCCTGTGCCAGCAAAAGCAACACAGATTACCTACCATTGTCCCTTGTGATTACTCATTTATCCATCTCCCGCAGCAGATATCTTTAGGTGTAGATGCTAACCCTTCTCTTAGTGCCATGATTATACAGTGGTCATTCTCTTCCTCTCATGTGCCCTTCCTTCCCTAATCGACTCCTAATTTCACATTCATACATTCTTACACAAGTTGTTTAATCTGACCTCGTGCAAAGCTAATAGCATACACACACATTAAATGCATAAGGCAGCTGCCAGTATCGCACAATTCTTCTGCTTCCAGTAGTCCACACTCTATGGCATCTGATCACAAAACTAGTAAGTAACCTTTCAAGGCAGTGAATATGGTTGTGCGAGTAATATGTAGGATTGTCTTATAATTTTGGCAGCTGTGACTCAGAGGTTTGTGAACACATTTTCGGTACTAGGCAACTTTGTAGAAGTATGCTTAGCATTGATTTAAAAAACCCAGTTTGAATCAAAACTCTTTATAAAGCAACAACAAACTACTGTTTGCAAAAACCACACAACAGCCAACAAATACTGTGAATAGTTTGTAATGACCTCTAAAGGACAAGCAACTAACTTATATTTGTTGGCATTGCCGTAGATTTAATATTTATATATATTTACAATAATTCATTCCACTTTTTTTCCTTTATGTGTGTGTGTATGTAAAATTGACTTTTCATTGTTGTCCAAAGGAATGGGGCTGCAGCACATTTAGAGACCAGAACCACAACAGAATGTGAAGACCATTACAGGCGATTCTACATTAATGGAGCTATTGGTGGTGGTAAAGTGGAAATTTTTTTTCATTGTCATATAGCAAGTCTTTTAGAGAACATTACTCCCATCATGGTCACAACTACCAGTTACCCTGGTACATGTACCCACATTCACAGAAAGTGGGTGTAAGGTTCTGTGTGTGTGCTGGTCAACTCCTACCTAATCTTCCATTAGCCATTCTTCTTCTTCTTCTGCTTCAGCTTCTTCTTCAACATTCCATGACTTTGAGGTTCATTGCTGCAGATATCAACTGCCTCCATTCAGCTCTCTGATTGGCTTCTCTTTCCAGTTGGTGACTGAAAGTGTTTGTGCTTCTGCATTTATTTGATCTTTTTGCTGTCTTTTGGACTGTGTCTGGTCTGCTTCAGGGCTGTTCAACTGGCAGCCCGTGGTGCAAATTTGACCCACATAGGCCTAACAAGTGACCCATAGATCCCCTGAGAAATATTTTGTATGAATGATTTTTCTGTTGCGGGAGCTCAGGCCTTTGGCCAGTGAAAAATCCCCATTTTCCAACATTTTGGCCCCGGTGTACATTTAATCCAATGGTCCTGGCCTACTTTTGTTTAACACTTTTGTGTACACAGTTTTTAATCTCTGTGTTGTCTGCCATTCTCTCCATAACCATCAAAATTGTTTAGATCATTGAAATGTAGTTTCACTTAACAGTAATAACATGTGGAGACCATTATAGGTTCTCCTGCTAACTCTTTTCTGCAATAAGCAACACACCAAGTATGATCTGCTATCTCTGATCTATTTCACTTTTGTGTGTTCTGTGTAATTTATGTCATAATCTCTGTCACATTTATATTAATTTACACTATAAGTGCATTATAGTAGGAGAAGTAAAAAAATATTTTGTATTTTATTTTTTTCCTGAATTTTTCAGCAACCCTCCAAGAAGTTCCTAGACCAAACATAACAGATCACACTGCTACAAATGGAGGTTTGTTTTTTGTTTTTGAGCTTTTTTATTGTGTTCATATTGTAAAGTTCATAAAGTGTTCACTGAGTGATGAATAATTTGGAGAAGTCCTCATTTGTCAGAAAACAGGTTTTAAAAAGTTTTCCTCTCCCAGGTTTACTGCCTAAAGGGTTGATATCCATGACTCAGTTTCAGATATAAATCCAAGGATCAGCTGTATAAACTAGTTACATTGGGGCAACCTACAGTTACAAACTAACCTGTTTTCCTTAGTGGGTTGGGGTTGAGGGGCACAATTTTTGGATAAAAGTATCCAGAGGTAGGGATGGGAACTGCTTGACCTTCACGTATTTCACATAGCCTGGGGTCACATTGTTATCAAATGGAGTAACAGGTCTGCATTCCTCCCAACTTCCGGTGCAGCTTTTATACTGCTGGGGTTCCTCAGCAACTGTATTGGAACAATACCCAATATGTGTGTGTCCAGGACTTTCTGCGGCTAGTGGGTATGTTGGATTTTATTCTCGTGACTTCCAATTTTGTTTTCAAGTTTTCTCCACTAGTGTAGAAGCAATCTTTGGTGGCTGTCAGATGTTTTAGTCTGTCATTTACAAGCAGTTTATTATTATATGAAATCTGCACCATATGCAGTAGGCAGACTTTATATTCTTTAATAGAACAGCACTTATAATTGACGTTGAACTTTATTCATAATTATTTCTTCTGAAATTACTAAAAGCAGATAAGAAGCTGCCTAGAGTTCACATTTAGACAAATACAACAATAGAGGAAATAACGACTGATGGAAGTTATAATTTTTCTGAGAATTTTGCATGAGCCAATACACATACAGCACTTTTCACAGCAGAGAGCAATTGATAGTCCCTTCTTCAGAAAAGTAATGCATTTTTGAAGAGTAACAAATTTAAGGAAAGTAATGAATGAAAAGATTGAATCTTTTAATTTAATTTCTTTAGTTTGAGCATAAAGCATGCACACAAACACACACACACGCACACACACACAGTTAAAAGTTCAATGTTGGTTGCATTTTATTTCATTTACATTAAAGATTTTAGTATCCCACACTGCATTCACTGTTGAATATGAATAGCTTATAGCAAACTGCTACTGCTTACTTATAAAATTAAATTCTTAGCTTGTGCATAGTTTTGTTTTTTAAATTTCTGAATAGTGTTGGCGGGTCCTTTGTCGCCGAGTCTGACCATTCCAGTAACACCTTTAGAAGTTGGCTTACAGCAGCAGCAGGAGCTGGGGTACATGCCTTACAGAGATGATTTTGAAAGGGTACACACATTTTTTTTGTCTTTATCTGATTAATTTAATTTCTAGTTTACCATGGGGATTGAGTTGAGTTGTCAAAAATTGAGGTCACAGCACTCTGGGCATTCCCATGTGGGCTCCGTCTTCATCTTCAGCAGCCTCTTCATTCATCTTCATTCTCTCCAGGCCAAAATAATCTTGTTTCTCTACTGAGTCTGTTGCTTGTTCCCCAAGGGCCTTGACCACATCTGCCTTGTCATGTATCAATTCACCACCCAGTGGTGCAGATCCAGCCAATCTGTCTGTGTTTATTACCCACTAAGCCGGCACGGCCTGGAGAAAAGATCCAAAGTATGCTCACTACCCGTGACCTTCCCAGTGAAGCTTGCCACTCTGCTCGAAGCATCGCTGTCTTCACCCTTCTTAGCATGCCTTCAGAGTGTTACAATTACAGCATGTGTATGCATACCCTGATATTTTTACCAAAGAAGGTATAAGCAATAGATTGCACAGTTTATATTTGGTGTATATCAATGTGTTTTGTCGAGTGCCTCATCATCATCATGTTTTTCTGCTTGTATGTCAATAAGGTTGGCAGTCCATAAAATCCAAATGCTTTGTGAAAGATAAAGTGTTTGGAGGGGTAGAGAGTTTAAGACAGCCCTGTGTAACCAATTTGTGACCGTTTACAAGATAAATTTCATTCAGTTCTTTGTTGATTCATCAATTCCGTTCTTTCATACTTCAGAAATAAACATGATAAATTAAATAAATGAATCCTTTTAACTGATATATAGACACAACACTCAGATATAACCCCTTATGTTATCAGGGTAATTGCAAACCAAATCTTGCAGATTAATACTGTTAAAAAGTTTGTAGCTTTTCCTTTACAGGGTGTTTCTGAACCAACCCCGGTATTTTTTGGCTGTTACGGTTTTCTAGGCAAATTTACTTTAATTAGTTTGTCATTGCTCCTGAACGGTCAGCTCTCGATAACGCTGTCAAAACCAGCACAAATCAGTCTGCTGCAAAATTCCCTGCAGCTGGGATTCAACCGGGCATTATATTATTTTATTTTGGCTACATTAAAATAAACAACTATCTTTAAAAACCAATTTGGGAAAAAATTCAAGGCTGGTGCACAAGAGGTAGACAGAGATACAACTTGGAGCGTAGCATCAAGCGATGTATAAACAACATTTTCAGAGCGTGTACAACCTGGACATGGAATAGAAGATGTTGAATATGGATAGCATATTAGATAATAGGATAATAAATTCAGCCCATTTGCGGTCTCAGAAATCAAAGTTATTTTTGGCCTTAAATAGTTTTTCTGTGATTCCACTCCAGGAAAACTTGATTTTTCTGTGCTGTGCCCTAAAGAAAATATAATAAATTCATGTACGTTTGACAAACTCAGGCCCATCTACGCCCATCTACACACTTATGATTGACGGAGTCTGGCCAGGACATTGTGATTGGACGATCAGTCTCTGCCTTAACCCATGTAAGTGGTTAGGATGTCAGCTTGGTTGTCGCTGCTACCGGTGACCTCGTGTACTGTATATTAAAGGATGTGAACCCCTTTAATGACCCCATAACATGTACAACTGGCCCTAACCCCAACCCCTCTCCCCCACACACTGAACCTAGTTCCCACAAGAGAGTGCAGTCTACAGCAGTACACGGGACACTTCCGTAACCTTGAGCAGTGTGGACAAGCCTGACTAAGCATCAATGAAAGGTGACCTAGTGTGTAGATGGGCCTAAGTTCATTACTAGTTCCAAAATTCTTATAGTAGACACTTAGAATCTATGCATATTCTACCACTGTAAAAAACAAAACAAAACACCAACATAGCAGCAGCTCAAAATTGATTGTTTTTGGTAAGAATGTTTGAAATGGCTACATGGTGCGCAGTTTTAAACACATTTAAAATTAAATATAATGCAAACACTTGTGACGAACCTTGGCTTGCAACATATCTGCTTTCGTCACAATTCGGCTTTATATGATTACTGCAACATAGCCACTTGCACTGCTCTAACGTCTAGGATTGATAACACAAACACTCTCAGTTCCTCTATTCATTTCTGTCAGATTATTCGATCACATTCTTCCACACTGTTCCAACAATTATTCGGACATACAAGAATCATTCTCAAGACATTGAAACTACATCTTCTATTAACACAGCTGTCTTCTACGACTTCTGGTAAGCTACTGACCACAAGTCCAGCTCAGGTTCCCCTCGCTTACTCGACCAGCCCCAAGTATCTCGTGCCGTCACTTGTAGCACAGACTTTCTGCTTGCCACAATGTACGTGTGGAGACCATGCAAATCACCTCATCACACACTAATGTTAATAAGCTATGAGGACTTATGCACATGACAAGATGTAACAACATATTTCAGCATTCTAATATTTAAGAGGCCTGTACTGTATCTTTTAAACAGGAGCATGATAATGATGCAGAGGCACTCATCAGTAGCTTGTCTGTTAATCCAGATGATGATGATATAAATATTTGTAAGTACAATGTTTTTCTTCTGAGTTCAAAGAAAGAAGTTCATTTTTGCTGCAAATTAAGGAAATAAAATAATGCTGTAACACATCATTAATTCTTTCTATACCAAATAGTTGTTACTTTAAATTGATAAACAGGACAGATGATGATGTGCTAATTATTAACGTTATTTTGGAGGAGCAGCTGGCCAGTCGGTTACAACTTTAGGCGCTCATGTGGGGGACCCACGTTCGACGCCCGGTAAGGTTTTAAACGTTTTCCTGTCTGGGACAGAAATAAATATCCTACCCTGCACAGTCTGTGATGACAGTATTAGTCGTGCAGCCCTGAATCCTCAGAATCATCCCCCCCCCCTCCCCATCCCCCGTCGATACCATCTTCTTAGAGAGGGATAAATACAGAAAGTAATGGCCGTTGTTTCCCTTTAGTTTGAGCTGAGCTGAAAAATATGCTCTCTTGCTGTAAATTTTAAATAGCTTATATTTGTTACATTACATTACCCCTTTTTATACAGGGTAGTCACAGCTTTCAAGTGAGAAATATGTCTGAACGTGTATCTGATATATCACATGTGGGGAAAGAAAAAGAATGGAGAGAAAATGTTGAATCAATAGCATTAAAGAATTTTTCTGTTGTTATTATGAGTGTTAATGCGCTTCTCAGATGCTCCTCTCAGCTCTTAACCTGTCTGCAGTAATTTTTTTTCTTTATCCATATTATCTTCCTGATCCTCAAAGCAGTGTTTTCCCATTGTGAATTTGAACAAAGAAGACACAAACAATAGATTGCAAATTTTATTGCCTGACATATTTCGCTGTATCTCGCCAGGTAAATACTATAGTGATATTTGATTAAAATAAAGCAAAGAAATGAATCTTCAAAATTGAAACACAAAATCGACTACATAAAAAAAAAACTGTTTGTTTCACCAGATTAAGTACAAGGTGAAGAGTATGTAGTTTTGTTTGCGTAATTCTGGACTAAATTGGTTTGTCGCAGTCACTTCCACAAATCTCAATAATTTACTGTTGGCTGAAGTGTAAATAATTCTAAATGCATCTTCCTTGTTTACAATGTGCCCAGAGTCCAAAATATGACACGCAATAGCTGATGGAGGATTTTTTCTATAGTCTGTTTATGTCTTCATTCTTCCTGATCCTCCTACCACCTGTCCCTTTTTCTCTACCATTCATGTCCCTTTTGCATACTTTAAATTGTAGTAGAAGCCAACCTCGAATGTTCTGCTCATCTGTAATTCACCATGGAGAATCTCCTTCAGGACATTTCATTATTAACTGTCCTTAATTTATATTCCTGCAAAGGAAAGGCCACCCAACTTTATAGTAATTATATTTTTTTTAAACTTGTGGTATTTCTGTGTAAAATATTTGTATAATTTCTTGTAAATTATCATGTTTTTTTTTTAAATCTGTGTTTCAAATCTTTTATTTGATGTTTAAATACAAAAAACAGTTGACCTGTTGTATTGTTTAAACCTTCCTCTTGTGGGTTCTCTTGCCCCATTTTTAGGGGGAAAAACAGAATAGACCCACTGTACCCCAACAAGGATGTCAAAAAAGTCGACTATTTGGATGTGTTTTCGTTGATGTCGGAGTGGCTTTGTCTGAGAGGAAGGAACCAAGTCTGCTTACAAATAAACATCCTCCCTCCTCCTGACCCAACAAGCATGTCACAAAAGTCGACTATTTGGGGGTGTGCTGGAATAGGATGTTTAGGCCTAAAAGGGGGGGGGGGAGGGGATGCAGAAAAATAAATCACCAAACAGGCACTGAAATGTAAAACAAATGAACTGAGAAAATGAAGAAGCCCAAGAGACACTCAAAGACGGACATTTTTGAGAGGCCAGAGGCATTGGACTCTGTACATGCTGTAGAAACTATTCTACAGAACAGAATGGAGTAGACTTTGAGGGCTGTTAGATGTATAAATGGCACAGTGGAATGATGATGATGATAACTCACAGGATCCTCCCTCTTGCACAGAATTGTGGGATTGCATATATCTCTGGGCTTTACCCAGTCCGAAAATTTTGACACTTGATACTTCTTGAAAAGAAAAGCAAGGAGGAAGGGAGCTGATCACCTCACATCACTGATCCAGTATATGTGAAATCCGATTACTTTTTTAAACTATATTTGCCGAATGTACTCATCTTCTTCTTTTTCTGTTTTGTTTGTTTGTTCGGTAACAGATATTTATGAAAGTATTCAGTGTCAGAATTGTTTGTTTTCAAGCAATCCGGCTAGCTCAGATTTACAAGTACCGCTTGCGACTGCAGGAAAGGGACAAAAGAAAAAGAATAGCTCGAGAGTATGGTCTCATAGCTGCTGGTGCACCACCTGCTTCTAAAATTCCAAAAACGCCAAATTTGAAGAAAAAAGTGGGCAAGACAGGCAGGTGAGAACAGTTACCTAGCATGGGTATATTGTTTATCTCTGTTGTGTGCCGCCTCTAAGACAGGTGATGGGCAGAAATAAGGGAACAGCTGACAGAACAGGTGATGGGCAGAAATAGGGAACAGCTGACAGTACAATTATTGGCCAGAAATAGTGAACAGCTGACAGTACAGGTGATGGGTAGAAATAGTGAACAGCAGACAGTGCAGGCGATGGGCAGAAATAGTGAACAGCAGACAGTACAGGCGATGGGCAGAAATGGTGAACAGCAGACAGAACAGGTAATGGGCAGAAAAAAGGAACAGGTGACAGAACAGGTAATGGGCAGAAATAGTGAACAGCAGACAGTGCAGGCGATGGGCAGAAATAGTGAACAGCAGACAGTACAGGCGATGGGCAGAAATGGTGAACAGCAGACAGAACAGGTAATGGGCAGAAAAAAGGAACAGGTGACAGAACAGGTAATGGGCAGAAATAGTGAACAGCAGACAGTGCAGGCGATGGGCAGAAATAGTGAACAGCAGACAGTACAGGTAATGGGCAGAAATAGTGAACAGCAGACAGTACAGACGATGGGCAGAAATAGTGAACAGCTGACAGTACAGGTAGTGGGCAGAAATAGTGAACAGCTGACAGTTTTCAGGTTTTTAACTGCTAGGCAGAGGATTAACTAAGACAACACATTCAGTTTCGGCACTGCTGTCATAGAGATAGATTGCACCCTAATCTATAAATGAATCAGAAATAAATGCAAGTGAATTATCTTGGCTTCTTTAAAGAAAATAGTTTGCAGTTGCTTTCTGCCTTGGCAGTGACTATTCTGTTTATTGACTGCAGCCATTGTCACTGTAGTTGAATTGTAGTTCTCAGATATTTAAACTCAGATGCCTGTTTAATGCCTTTGTATTCTATTGCTATGTTTAGATCTGTCTTTTTTTTTTCTTGACATTACTTCTGTCTTTTCAGTGCGGATTCTCATATTATTTGTTTTACATTCTTCATTCATGGATGTTAGATGTTATTGCAATTTCATGGCTGTATCAGCTGGTATCAGGCCTGGTCATCTGCAAAGAGTAATTCGTTGATCTTACTAAGATCTTCATTCATGGGCTTGGCATTCTTGCATATACTGTCGATGTAGGTAATAAACAGCAGTGGTGATAGGACACACCCCTGTCTTACTCCAGATGGAAAACTTCCGGTTAAAATGGACGCTAGGCAGCGGTGCCGTTTGGAACAGAGGCAAATTTTTTGCTTCTGCCGGACGGTGGCCGATGCATTTTTGCTCCATTTGTAGACTGGATATAGTTTCGTCGCCCAGCTTCTGAGTTGAATGCATGGCGTGACCCTGTGAGCTGCGGATTGCATTTGGAATGTTTTTTTTCGACTGTGACCAACGTGGTGGTGTGAATTGTAGATTCAGAAAATGGCGCGATGCCTGTCGTTCAATGCTTGCGGGACCCGTATTAAAATTGATCACGCGGACAACTGCTGATCTGTTGACGACAAGTTCTGCTATCATCAATGATGAACTGCATTTCTAATGTTGGACTGTTTGTGTTAGCACTTCGGATGGCTACCATATGCTTTAATGCGAGTGTATGCTAGATATGCTGAGACAGCAGTCTGTCAATCTTTCCACAAGGGACTGTGATAGACATTCTGAGGGTTTTTCGCTGGCACAGGAGCGGAGCAAAGATGGGGCAACCCGTTTGCTATGAAGCTGAAACTAAGACTACCAGACTACCAGTTGAATTCTTTGGGCAATGTCTGCAAGCTTGGGACCATGACCAACAGCTGTCACATACTCTCAATCTCAACGCGCCACCTGCTCATGTTACTCTGATACAAATGAGGGTTAACAGGTACTGCACCAAAGGTATACCCATAGGGCAGTGGAGGAAAGAAGTGGCCTTGCGTTTCTCATGTAAAAATAAAATGACATTTTTTGCGGCGAGAAAAAGAGGTAAACTGCTGTATGGAGCCTGTATTGTTTTATGCGTGTGAAGCGTGGACAATAAGTAGACAAGCAGAAAAAGATCTAATGGCAGAGGAAATCTGGAAAAAAGTACAGAAAGTAACCTTCATCAACCCTCTTGTACCCCAAGAAGTTTATAAGTCAATGCCATGCTTTCTTTATCTATGCTGGCTTTTAGGTCGTGAGTGCAGAGAATGGCCAGCTGGAACTGCAGAATCAGAAGTTCAACAAATGATTCATGACAATTCCCGCCCAAGTGATGTGATTATCTATACAGATGGCTCTGTGTTGAGGGGCAGACGAAGTGCATGGGGTTTCATAGCAAAGGCGAATGGACATCGCCTAGTGCAGCAAAGCCTTGTGTATGGTGTCACAACGAAGAAGAAGATGGGGACTAAGCACTTATGGGAATGTCCTGAGTGCTGTGATGTCGATTCTTAATTCAACATTCATGCTGGCTTTTAGTTCTTAGCAGATCAAACAATTTTCTGCTAACTATGAGAAATTAGGTTTTTTTAGGAAAGTTAAGGTTACAGGGTCTGCCAGCCTGAAGATCTTGTGTTCGAATCTGTGCTGGGGCATATTATTGTATAGTTGACCTTGGCTTCCAGGATGATCCAGCCTAAAATGAATAAAGGCAAAGCCACTAGGAAGTAAAGATGCTGACCACCTCACTCACTCAGTTGGTCTGTAAAATAAGGGTTTAGGCGTTGTGAGCCCGACTCGTAATTCCAGTGTGCCGCGATCGAAACCCACTGCTGGATGCCTGTCCTGGGGAAGTAAAGGCGGCTGGCGTAATACTGACCACATTACCCACCTATTACTGATTGGTCTGTAAAAATGTGGGTGCTCTTCCCATATAGCCAGTGTGCCTAAAGGCATGAAAATGATTTTAACTATACTTACACTATGCTTGATGAGTTCAATAGTCACGACCATTTTGTTAAGTTCCCAAATTACAGACAATAAGTAAATCAGTCAAGCATGTATGGTAATGATTCTATTTTAACTGTAAAACTACTGATAAGGCATGTGGTATTGCCGCCCTCAAAAATTTACATTTTGGCCTGTGGTTATCTACCTGTTTCTTATAAAAAATGTTTAAATAAAGACTTTCATTTCTCTGTTTTCAGAGAATTACAGGAAAGGTTAAAACCTTTTTGCCAGTTTCATTCAAAGGCAGAACATCAAACGTTGTTTGACAATATAAGGAGTAAGTACAGACTTTAGTTTTATATTGTAAGTTCACTTGTTAACTTATATCATCATCAAAAAGTGCCTTGCTGACTGACATAGGCAATCATGTCTCTCCAGAATCTCTGATCTTCAACAGCATGTATCAGTTAGTTGCCATGATGAAAGGCTGTCAAGAATGTTGGTTGAATGTTGAATTAAGAATCAACATCACAGCACTCGGGACACCCCCATAAGCACTCCATCTTCGGCAGCAAGTGAAGAGTTGAAATTCTGATGGTACAAGTAACTGTAGGCTGTCAAGAATCTTCTCGTAATAACTTCCTTGTCTCTTTTTTCCCCACAGATCTTTCCAGTAGTCACAGCATGTTCCATTTTCTTCTTCCCATAATACGACCAAAATATAACTGTCTCTTTCAGATGTTTGTAATAAGTTGTCTACAGCAGTGGTTCTCAACTTTCCTAATGCCGCGACCCTTTAGCAGTTTCTCAGGTTGTGGTGACCCCCCAACCATAACATTATTTTCGTTGCTACTTCATAACTTCAGTGCATATGTGTTTTCTGATGGTCTTAGGCGACCCCTGTGAAAGGATCATTCGACCCCCAAAGGGGTTGAGAGCCACTGGCCTAGAGAAAGGAAACCATATACAGATGCATGTCATTCGATATCTTCACTGTTGGCCTAGAATATGTGAAGCCTGACACTTTAAACATCTACTGTGGGACTACCTTTCTTTCATTATTAGCAACATTTTATATTGGCCTGGCTTTTTATATTGCTGGTTTTAAAACTATTTGTTTATAATTATTTAGGAGAAAAAGAAATAAAAGCACGGATCAAAGATCTGATACGTCTGAGGAAGAATGGTATCACCAAATTGGCAGGTATGATGTTCAGACAGTTTTTCTTCCACATGTGCTGTTAATTATTATTCTCTTTGTCAATTTCAGCGCCTTATTTTGGAGAAACAAAATAACGTGATTATTTTTCTTCATGTTCACCTGCTGTTAATTCCAGCTGGAATTTATGGGTGTTCCTACACTTCCCGACTATTGTCTTGTTCCAGACCTGAGTGTTAAATGCAAGTCTGTTTCACACCTCTAACTTATTTGTATGCAGACTTGGTTCCTTGCCTCTTAAATTAGTCTACCCCTATGGCATGCTTTTTGGGAAGGCATTGGGGTCTCTTCTTGTTTTCCCTCACAGTGGGGCCTTAGACCTGCTCGGAGAGAGACAGTGTCTAATTAGGGGGTGGGCTGAAACCAGGTGTGTTGAGCAGAAAGGCAGTATTGTTATAAACCAAAAGACAACATACTTACCGCCATTTTAAGGGCGAGCGCTGAAGAAGATTACGATGATAAAAGTTATGAAATTAATTGCTGATTTGTATTAATTAGCCTAGAAACTACCTACAGTTTGGTCGAGAGGCGTATTACTTTTACAGTATTTAACTTGCTTTTGTTTGTGCTGTTGTTATGTGCAGATCAGTTTATCAGTGCTGAGTCCATGTTGATCAAAGAGACAGCAAAAGAGATAAATGCAGTTATATAATGTCATCCCCATGGCAGGTCCACGACCACACTGTGGAGAAAACTAGAATAGTCCTACTGCCTCCCTAATAAGCATGTCATAAGAGTCGGTTGGGGGGGGGGTGTCCTTCGAGGTCAGAGTGCATCTGCCTGAGAGGCACGGAACCAGTATTCTGCACACAGTTAAGTCAGGTGGCGCGGTGATTTCGGTCACAGGCATGAGGGGAAGTTAAGTCTGATGTGATGTGTATAAGGAGATATTCCGTACCCCACTCGGGTGCCAGTACTTCACTGTTCTGGTTTTACGGAACCTCATGCAAGACTCCTGTTGCACGTCCCCGTCGTGCGCCACGGATAATGTCTCAAATGAGCATTAACAGAGTTGGCAGGGGATCTCGGAGCTGGCGGCCCCCAGAGGTGTAGAGTCCTTTCTGGCTCTCACCAGCCCGCCCCCAAACGCATGGGTGAAAAGTAACAAAACTCAAGGACTGCTTGCTAAATGTACCATCAAATGACAACTCTTGGTTAAAATTCGGGAGCGAATGGAAAACTGTGCTGCTGAGACTCAACCCCTGACCGAGAGATTTACCCGCAGCCAAGACGAGTAACATCTCTTGTGGGCGACTTCTCGCAGCAAGATCCCACCTACGTACATCCTCTGTCAATCCTCAGTGTCGTCGTCACCGCGCTGAGGTACACCATGGCAGCAACTATTCATATGCTGGCTTGAAAACAATGTCCGACAAAGTTACACCCCACGGCACACATGCAAGCTCAAAGTCCGACGATCATAACTCGTACCGATTAGGAAAAGTCTGAATGTCCGTATCCACTGGTCCAACTCGCCCGAGTGTTGGGACCAAGCAGGTGAAGCCACGCCTGACGCATTTTGCTTCCCCATTCTGTCGTGCTAAGGGCACAGCTGAAACAACGTTAAAGGTGTCTAATGTAAGATGAAAAAGAATGTACCTATTTGTGTGGCCACAAACGTCCTAGACCTGCGGGCTGCTCCCCGCTGATCTCCGGAGAGCGCAGCCTTGTAGCGCGGGAAGCTCAATACACGGTTGTGAGGTTAAGCAGTCATGTGCAGGACGTGACGATTCCTTGGGTGAGCCCAGAACCAGAGCATCATGTGTCGGCTCTGCATTTATGGAAGCCTCCTTGGATTGCAGGGAATGCCCATGATCTGCCCCTGCCTTCCCTTGAGGGCTGAAAACTCTACATAGAGCTGCCTTAAGGACGACATGCCGGGGGCCACACTTGTTAAAAGTCAAAGAGGACACCACACAAATAAGGCAACATCTCGACCCACACAAAACAATGGCCACAGTCAACCTAGAAATAGGCTTGACGTCTTCCTCCGAAGTCGGAGTACATCTGCCTGAGAGGCGGGGAACGAGTACTGCAAACAAATAAGCCAGTAAAACGGATGTACACGCAAAACTCAGGTCAAGGTAAAAGCCAAAAGTCCATTTTGGACGAACAACCGTGACTTACCGCCAGAATTCATAGCCGGTGAACAAGAAGAAGAAGAAGTTAAGTCAGATCTGTAATACGAATGTGGATGCAACTTTCATGTTCTGGAAAAATCTAAAGTCCAGAGATGGTCGAACAGCCAGAACTTTCCACCAGAGTTTACAGCCCGTGAACACGAAGAAGAAGATAATATCATAACTTGACTGCTAGCAGATGTTCAGACAAATGTATATGAATGTGTGTTTGTGAGTGTCTTAAACTATTCTTTCTCAGCATTCCGAGCCCTTAAGGTTCATTGCTGCAGATATCTGCCTGAGAGGCACGGAACCAGTATTCTGCACACAGTTAAGTCAGATCTGTAATACGAATGTGGATGCAACTTTCATGTTCTGGAAAAATCTTTTTGCTCTGCCTCATTTTCTACTTCTATTCATCTCTTGTGGTTGCAGTTTTTGTCTCCGTTATCTGCCATTCTCTCTATATGCCCCAACCATTACATTTCTGTTAGCCCTCGGGATGCCAGTAATTTTTGCTGATTTAAACAGGTTATGAATTTTGTTTGGTGCTTCTCACTTTCCACTCCTTGCTGTTTGCATCTTTGGCAGATGCAAATATTTGTCCTAAGAATCTATCTTTTGTAAGTTTGTGATGTGGCTTTATCTCTTTAACTTGTACTCTAGGTTTCAAAGCCTTTTTGGGACACTTGGTATGTTATGTTATGTTTGAATATTGTTTATTAATGTGCCCAGAGTATGAAAAACGTCTTTCTTATGTTGAGGTTCTCATTTCACGGATGTCAGCAACTTCTAGTAGGTTATGGCAAGGAAACGTCAACGTGGATAAATTATACCTTTGATAGTCCATGCCATGGTTGTTGGTAATTATGCTTATTCACAGCCTTCTGTCTCATGTACTGTCAGTCATTCCTTAAACGGGGCCGCATTAGTGCAGTCAATAGGAGACTTGCTTTAAAATCCAGCTGCGACTCACTGCAGCCCACGGCGGGTGTTCGAAACCGGGTATTTCCCGGGGTTCGCCAAGCCTCTAGGTAACAGGTTGCCAGAGTTAACACTGGGGTAAATGGAGAAACATCGCTGTAGTACGGAGTTGCATGTGGACGGTGACACAGGCAGACAGTTTCTTATCAGCTGTCTGTACTGGTGGCAGAGCACTTATGGTTTATAACCATGTGCAATAACGCTGGGTCACATCTCCCGACTTAACTTTTTTTTTTTTAAATTTCTCAGTCTTCCATGTCATCATATCAAACTGTCCCAACACTTTCTTTCATGATCTTTTTCTCGTTTTCTTTATCAGTTTTTCTGTCGTCACTCCATACTCTAAGTTTTCCCTTCTCAGCATATTCTCAAAGAATATAGACTTCTTCTCTTGCAGTAATTAGCTTTTTTCGTAAGCTAATTTGTTTCAAGAGATCTCCATCTCGGTTGTTTTTTCCAATTTTATTTGTCTGTGAAATTCTCATTACTCCTCTTTTAAAATGACAAAAAGTAAGTACCACAGAAATATTTCAAGTGGGCACATATTCAAAGGATTAATTGCTTTGCTAAGTAACCATTTTTTTCGCCCACAGATGAAGAAGTGTTTGAGGAAGAAAAGTTTAAGAGAGAAAAGCAGAAAGAAAATAAGAGAAAGCTGGTGAGTTCAATCTTCACTGCACATTCCCATTACTGGCAAACATTTATTGTGGATACTTCACTGTATTGATTGACTGAGTTTCTAATATTTGAGGTCTGTATGGACGCATCTAGTGCCCATGTAGATAAGAAAATGATTACTTAAATATTGGGGAGTGGTCATGGTGTAGTGGCTAGACACTTGCCTGCAGATCAGAAGGTTGTGGGTTCAGGTCCTGTGGAGCCTGACCTTTTTTTTCTCCAATAAACCTGGCTCACAGATCAGCCCATCTAAAAATGCGAACCTGGTAAAGCCTGGGACTTGAAGGCAGTAGGCATGATGTTCCTGGGACTTGAAGGCAGTAGGCATGATGTTCCTGGGACTTGAAGGCAGTAGGCATGATGTTCCTGGGACTTGAAGGCAGTAGGCATGATGTTCCTGGGACTTAAAGGCAGTAGGCTTGATGTTCCTGGGACTTGAAGGCAGTAGGCATGATGTTCCTGGGACTTGAAGGCAGTAGGCATGATGTTCCTGGGACTTGAAGGCAGTAGGCATGATGTTGACCACATCACCCACAGAGGGCCAATTGGTCTATAAAATATATGTCTAGCCGTACATGCCCAGTACACCTGACGGCACGGAAAAAAGGTCGTTTACTGATAGTGGTCAGTGTGCTGGCCTGCCAGAACTGGCTTTGATTATTCATGTGAGTTCTGGGGCCCCATTGTGGGGAAAACAAGAATAGACCCACTACCTCCCCAACAAGCACGCGATAGGAATCGACTAATTAGAGACTTCCTTCGGAGTCGGAATGCATCTGCCCGAGCGACAAGGGACAACCAGCCTCATACAAATAAGCCAGTAAAATGGATATCCACGCCAAAAAGCCCTGGCACAAAGTGCACATATATCTATGTTGTCTTCTGAGTGATATATATATATATATATATTCACGCGCGCGCGCGCACACACACACACACACACACATATATAACTCAGAAGACAACATATATATATATATACACACACACACAAAATAATCAACAGTTGAAGATTTAACCTGTATTTTATTCAGAGTACACCCCTTGTGCACTCATACAGCGAGTGACACGATCTAACAAACACTAGAATGACCTCTATAGTTCTTCTGTTGTTATGACCCTTAAAGTCGATGTTACGGCTCTTTGGATGTCATCAGTATCGTCAAAGAAGTGTCCTTTCAATGGCAACTTTAATTTTGGGAATAGAAAATAATCACAGGGAGACAAATCTGGGCAGTAGGGTGGATGGATGAGAACACTGACTTGTTTTGGGCCAAAAATTCCTGTACAACTACCGCCCGGTGAGCCGGTGCATTGTCATGAAGAAGGAAAAAACTGCCAGGTGTTAAATGCTCAGGTCGGACTCGGAGAATCCTTTTCAGTAGACATTTCAAAATACTTAGATAAGCTGTGGCTGTGACAGTCTGTCCCTCTGAAAAAAAATTATTTGTGAATAATTCCTGTGCTATTGTAGATGCACACCAACATTGTCTTCACTTTAGACTTTTGATTTTTTGTTGCCTTTTGATGATGATGATAATGACTTCCACTGAGCACTTTGACGTTTAGTTGTGGGATCATAGCAGAAAATCCATGTTTCATCCTCAGCAACAATTAAATTTGAGAAATATTTATTTCTGTGACAGGTTTTGATGATGTCTTTTGCGTATTCAACATGTTGATGATTTTGGTCACCAGACAACAAATGTACAAACTGGCAAGCAACTTTTTTCTTGCCCAAATCTTCCACTAAAATGTTACAAATGGTCTCTCTGATAACACAAAATTCATCTGCCATCATCTTCACAGTCAAACAACGATCTTCTTGTATCCATTCTCTGACCTTTGCAATGAGTTCCTGATTATGAACAGGTCTAGTTGCATTAGTAATCATTTCCACACCACTTTTGAATTGTGAATACCATCTGAAAACCTGTGCATGAGATAAACAATTATCCCCATAAACTTGTCGCATCAATTCAACTGGCTTATTGGCGCTTTTTCTAAGTTTTAAACAGAGTTTAATGTAAGCCTTTTGTTCCATTCTGATTATGTAACAATGCACCTCTGACTAGCTCAGTAAAATGGCGGCTTGTTTGTTGTCTGCTTTTCTGGCCGTGAAAAGTTGCTAGATCATAGTTGAAGGTTGCCTCTTTGGATTCTATCCTTTGCTTCATAGCTGGCATTTTTTGTCTTGGCCATAATAAAATTTGTCTCATTACTTAATTGTTGGACCTTGTGTGTGTGTGTGTGTGTATAGTGCTTCTGCACAAATCGATCATCATGGTCTGGAAAGAATGGTACACCAGGGTTTGGGCCGACATTTCAGGGCAAGGCAAGACAGGCGCACAGTCAATCTGCTGCTGGTACCTTCTGAATGGAAACTGTGCTGACTGCTAAAGATAGGAATGTCCTGAGTGCTGTGATGGCACGTCTTAACTTAGCTGTTTGGCAGTTGAGATGAGATGAGAGAGAGTTCTGTTGAGTTTATGTAAGTGGCAGTGGACTTTGATGGGATTTTGTATTGGCCATATGATCAGCAGAGATCATGTAAGCAAGGATGTTTTTATACCATAGGTAACTAAGCTTTGGTGAAAGCTAAGTGACTCTGAGGTGACGACCAAGTTTTTGGCCCACATCAGATTGAGTGCATGAGATCGTGGAAGAAGAATACCATAGATATTTTGTTTGTTTGCTGTTTGTGTGTGTGTGTGTGTGGTAAAATTAACTAGCATATTTGTTTCATTTTTAGGCAATGGCTTCAACACCAAAAAGAAATTCACAAGTGTCCAAAAAGGCAGAGTAAGTACAAATAGCAATTGCAACTGTAAAATGGTTAGTTCGTTGCGTATCCTTTACAGGACGTTGCAGAACCAACCCCAATAGCCCCTGGCTGTTGTGTGGTTTTTCTAGGCAAATTTATGTCCAGTAGTTTGCTATTGCTTTCTGGGCGGTCAGCTTTCTTGATACCACTGTCAAAACCAACGCTAGGCGCATGGCCTGCAACTGGGATTGAACCCAGCATCCCGGCATTACGAAGCGTTCGCATCGACTTAGCCACAGGGCCGACAACAATAAAATATTTAAATAAAAAAAGACAAACATCATCACCATAACACAGGTCCTGTGGAGAATGTAGATACCATCATTGTTTGCTGGAAAGCTCTTGGTCCATTGCCAGTTGCCTTATCTCATTTATTTTCAAGGCTGTGTGTCCTGTGTCCACCTTTTTTTAAAAATAATTCTCTTCTTCTATCATCCATGCTTTCCATTATAATCTTTCTAAATCACTGTCGCTTTGAATATTCAGTTACCGAGATTAATGCAAATTTCTTAAGTGTTCAGATCTTAAAGAATGTATTTTGTTTTTCTTAATTCATGACATTCTAAGAATGTTGTATATCATCTGAGTTCAAAAGCCCTGATTTTTTCTAGTGAATTGAAAATAGTCTATCTCACATCCAAATGTTGTTGCTGAAAAGATGCATATTCTGAATTTTGTTTTCCACTTTAGCTGATATAGCCAATCTACTTCTGATTTTCTTGTTTATCTCTGTAGCAAAGTGTGTGCTCTGTTTGTGTTTAGTGATTACTTCCCTTAATATAAAAAAACATACCTTTGTGCAAAATAATGACTAAATTGGAAAAAATCTATCTTTTTAGTGAATTGGAGGCCGCGATGACACAGTAGCTGACAGGCTTGTCTGTCTGCTCGGTGATCATAGCTTTCAAAGAATGGATTTTTATAAAAACTGACCAAGACTCAAAATTTCTTCTGCTTTTTTCATCCCATCCTCTAGATTTTTAAGATCGAGTTTCAGAGAATTATAGTGATGCTTTTCTTTTTAACAAATGTTTGGAAACAATAATTTTTAAAGAATTTTACTGGTTGAAAGGTGTAAGCGGTTAGCCTCACACTCTAAAGGTAATAGCTTAGGTTTTGAATTCCACCCTTCGGTTCGTGCTTGCATGTGTTTCAGAGAAGTCCTAGCTGTAGCTATGGAATTTTTGGTTTGTACAAAGTTTGCTGCTAGTAGCTGGCCACTCTGGAGAAAGACCAGCATAAACTAGTGGAGTAAAATCCCTGTTGTCTTCAAACACCATTTTTAAAACCATATTTGTTGTTATAATTTTGTTAGTTTCTTTCCTGAATTTGTATGAGGAGTCAGTTATTTGTAATTGTCACAGAATGTGACAGCTTTTCTTCCTCAGCTAACTTTTCTGTCATGTCTTTTTATAGAGGAAAACTGGACACAACTGAAACATCGCCAGATAACAGTGCAGATAAAACTGAGGATAGCAGTATTGTTCTTTGCAAGGAAATTAATAACAGCATGCCTGGATATGAACTCATTTCTGAGAATGAGAAAAAGGTAAACTATCTAAATGTGTAACAGTACCTCTTTATACAGTGTCCTGTAAGTTTGCATACATTATAAAAATATAAATTGTTTATTATAAACCATTTTTATTTATAGATGCTCTACATGACTAACATTGATGAAAACACATTTTGATGTGTGTCCTGCAATGCTGAAGAACACGTATAAGCACAGCTGGAGTTATTCTTGTAATGGCGTTGGCGATCTGTTCATTTTTTCTGTGTGTGGAAACATGGGATACCCTGGTTTATGATCCAGCGGGTCGAAGCGTGCTTTGTGCGCAGACAGTGGATCGAGTCATTTTATCTTTGTCCCAGAGAATGCAGGTGTTGTTGGCAGTGAAAGAGCAGACAGATTAGCTGACTCTGCCTTAGTTACAGAGGATGGGCCCTCGGATCATGCAGACATTGTCAATGCCATTAGAGAGGCATAGGACGATCGGAGGAGCTATCACCAAATACCCAACATGTCTCAGAGATTGGAAAATGTCTTTTTACTATTACTTTACCTGTGTATTTTGGCATGATTTAAGAAGTCTGCTGCTGATACTTTGTAAATAACATTGTTGTGTAAGCTTGCGTATAACATACTTTTATTGTCTTTTTTCTTCTCTTTTACTACAGTTGTGTAATTCCATGGGCATGTCTCCGGCAAATTATATTACAATCAAAACTTGTATAATAAAGGTAAGTAACTTTTTTGGGGGTTAATTATTATTATTATTAATTTTTTTTTTAAAACACTTAGTCCTTTTCTACTACCCTGGTGTGTAGAGGTTTGCCAGAGGGATCGCCAGATTTCTCTGTCAGCAGTTTTCTTTTCGGCTTTGATCTATTCCAGTTCTCTGTCAGTCAGAGACTGTTGAAAGTCTTCCTTACAAATGCTAGGTCATCCTGTGCGTCTGGTACCTAATTCTTAACCTCCCATGCCTGCTGATTTTCTCTCCCATACATGTCAAAACCATCATTACTGTGACTGAATAAGTAGCTGTTAACAGTATTAATTCTCATTTTGTAGATTATTTTTACAATTGAACTAGGGCTCCCAAGTTGACTCTGTCTGAAATGACATCATTTTGAAGAACAAATAATAGACCCCCCCCCCCCCCAACTTTCCCCAGCCACTTAACAAGTAGGTCGGAGGTGAATAATTAAGGGTGATTCTTTCAGTCAGAATGCATCTGCCTGAGATGCAAGGAGCCAACAGTCCAGAAGTGGACGAACTGCCAGAACTTTCCACTGGAATTTACAGCGAGTGAACGCAAAGAAGAAGAAGAAGATAAATTTTCTTTTTACTTCATATGGCATTTTGACATGGTTTATATTTTTAGTGAATGTTCATCTGTGACATTGTGTCCTTTGATTGAGGATAATCAAATGAAATGTTACATTTTTCTTTTCTTTCAGGATTATCTCCAGAGATGCAACGGTAAAGATGTAGGCAAATTTCGTTATCCAGGAGGGATGGATAAGACACACAGACGCAAAATTATAGGGTTTTTACAAGATAATTTATGGATTAGTGCATCATAACATTCTCAGGAAACGGGTCTTAGTGTTTCTCCTGCTTACATTCTGTGATAATTTAGTACGATTGGAATATTCGTACATTATATCTGTTACATACAGATCTGGTCAGCATTCTTGAAACTGGTGGAGGTGATTAGAATCCAGTTGTGGTACAGACATATGACCTCATTACAAACTTTATTTGAGAAGACAGCGGATGTTCATAACATGTCCCGTCTATTACATGCAGATATGGTCAGATGTTGTGTCAGCATTCTTGTAACTGATGGAGATGCTTAGAATCAAGTTGTGTTACAGACATATGACCTCATTACAAGCTTTATTTGAGAAGTCAGCGGATGGTTCATAATATGTCTATCTACTACATGCAGATATGGTCAGATGTTGTGTCAACATTCTTGAAACTGATGGAGATGCTTAGAATCCACTTGTGGTACAGACGTGTGACCTCATTATAAGCTTTATTGGAGAAGTCAGTGGATGGTTCATAATAAGTCAGTGTTAACTTAAGATATTGTTGGATGTTGTGTCAAGTCTTCTTCAAACTGTATAAAGTACTTTGAATCAACTTGTGGAACAAAAGTGTCTTCATTACAAGTTTTTTTGTGTGGAGAAGAAAATGAACATTTGATAACTATGTCTGTCTGTTAAGTACAGATATGGTCAAAGGTTGTGTCATCAGCCTTCAGCAAACTATATACAGTGCTTGGTGTTTAGGACAGAATTGTGTCCTCATTACAAGTTCTACTTGAGAAGTCGGTGAGTGGTTGGTGTTACATCTGTCCGTTATATACAGAAATCGTCACGTGTGTCAACATTCTTAAACAGACTGTATGCAGTGCTTAGAATCCAGTTGTGGAACACAAGTATGTCTCATTATAAGTTTTGTTTGAGAAGTCGGTGGATGGTTCTCTGTGTGGTTCATTGACAGAGTTTAGCAGAGCACAAAGCTTGTATCAGGCCATATGGCAGGATACTGGTTCCTAGACTTGTGTGAATTCTGCAATTTGTTCACTGTAGGACATGCTTCATGGAAGAAGAAATAAAAAACAAGACTTCACTCGAGATGCCCCATGTGGGTTCCAGGGCTCTATTTTGGAAAAACAAAGAATAGAGCCACTGCTTTCCCAGTAAGCGTATCATAGGAGGTGACTAATTAGGGGTGTTTCCTTCAGTCAGAGTGTATCTGCCTGAGAGACAAGGAACTTACAACCTGCATTTAGAAAAGCCAAATCGGTAAAATGGAAGTCATGCAGAATTCAAGTTGTGGATTAAGACCAGAGTCCAGGAGTGGATGAACAACCATAACTTTTCCCCCCCTGAGTTTACAGCCGGTGAACGCTAAGAAGAATAAGATGTTAACTAGAGACACTTTATACATGAAAATACAACAAGGTGTGGAATTGACAAGTTCACTGATGGAGCGAAAGCCCTGCTGCATGGTGATGGTTATTGCATTCTTTAACACGTTTTCTCGAGTTAGAGAGGGGAAGGTATTTCATAAATGTAATTTATTTTGCAATTAATGAATATCTTATTTTCTCACATTTAGTTAAATAGACTGTTAATGAAAGAGTCACAAACATTGCCAGTTCACCTGTGTAAAGGGGACTCTTTTCCATGCCATTAGGTGTATTGGACATATTTTACAGACCAATCAGCACTTGTCGGGTTGTGTGGTCAACATCACGCCGGCAGTCTTTATCTGGTATCAGTTTTAGGCTAGGTCGACCTGGGTGCCAAGGTCATTTTTGAAAAATAATGTGTCTAGATGCGAATGTATGCCTATGACCCTCGGACCCGTGGCAAGCATTTTGTCGCTAAACCACAGTGGTTCTCGCTCACATGTATCGTGCGAAACAAAATTGCATTGTCTGATTTCAAGTATTATAAATATGACATGTATTAATAATGTGGCTTAAATTATATTCAATCTTGTGACAAAGCCGCTGGGTTGTGACAGTATAGTCTGTTGTAAGACTACATTTCTCATCATATTCTATCATCGGCATTGCTGTATCTCAGTCAGCTCATCTCATTCAGTATTAAGGTTATAACTTTTGTCCCAGTGTCAATGTAGTTTTTGTTTTTTGTTTTGTTTTAAAGCTCCACTCAGGCGGTTGCTGGGGGGTGTCCTAATATAACCCAGCCTATGGGTTGAACAGGGTGTCTAGAACCTGTCCGTGAGTGATCCCCATTCGAATGGTGGCACTTTATGTCACCGGGTGTTTATCGCTCAGCGTGATGTCCTGGTGGGGTTGAATGTCTGAGAGACATCCTTTTTTTGATTGACATTCTGAATATGATTGCCTGTTAAATGCCCTGATTATAACTTAGGAAGTTGAGTGGGGTGTATGGGATTTGTCCTTTTGGACAGGCATCCTGAATAGGACTGCCTGTTAAATGCCCTAATTATAACTTAGGAAGTTGAGTGGCATGTTGGGTATTTGTTCTGTTGGACAGGCATCCTGAATAGAACTGCCTGGTCTTGCACCACAGGCTTTATAGAAGTCGGTGGCATTCCCGTCTGGAAATCACTGGCAGGGAGAATGAAAAGAAAAAAAGGAGACTGGACAAATACTGACCAGTAAACATGCAGACAATCTTGCCAGCCATTGCACTACTGCAAACTCTGATATATGTTTAGTACAGTAGACATTTGTCATCCTTACAATTTCATCTCATTAATTGTTCTTTTTCTTTTTTTTTTGTATGTTCATCTGTTCATACCTCACGTGGTAAATTTGTATACAGATTCCTCATTTATTGTGTTAGCTTAGTGCCTTCAGTTTATTTGCTGTGAAATGTTTTCCTGCTTTTCTTACGTTGGCAAAGAACTTAATTTGTGCAATGGTAATTTGTGATGTCAGGTGAATGAATGGAATTAGCTGAACCCTCTTGCCCTGAAAAGGCTCAATCTAGTCACTTTTGGTTGTGACACAGCCCCATAAATGACGATATGTCGCCATTTCTGCAGTGACCTGTTCTCGGAAAGCGTAGTTAAATCCCTTAGGCTCTGTGTTCACCTGTAGTGTTTAGGAAGGAGGCTTAGATGTGAATATATTAACTAAAACTAGCATTTAGAGGAGTTTCCTTCTAAACCCAAAAAAAGGCAAGTTTACTTAAAATTTTCCAGCAAGCCTTAGTGATGGAGGTCACAGTATAAGTCCTCTGATGCATATTTGTTTTAGGCCCCAGGAAATGCATTTTTATTTAGTCCTTCACTCTGCTCTTGTTTATTTATTACTCCTTTTTATCTTTATATATTTCAAAACAAAAATTTATAAAATATTGATAAATAAATTTATAAAATATTGATAAATAAATTTTTTAACAATTTATCAGTTAGCTGTGTTAAATTATTGTTTTTTAACGGATTTGTTCCCAGAGAAATTCCCACAGGTTCGTGCCCCATTTTCTGTTTTCGTAGTTGGAGGGTTAACGAAATCTCTTCTATCAGTTTGATGAATGTACATATTTTATTTCTATCACCACTACCCTAAAGATTATGAAGTCTGCAGGCAGTTGTTTTGTCTGTGTGTGAATTCCTCACATAATAGCGTCAGTTCTTCTGCCTTGCAATTTCCAAAGGAATGCAAGCCCTCATCTATATTCTGTTAACTTATGACTGGCTCATGACTGATTAGGTTTTGCAGCTAAAGACTTCTGTGGAATGAGGTAGTCAGTCTCACGCCAACCATCCTTAGTTCTCATACAACACTCCTGGCCATTGGGTTAACCGTATGTGTCGATTCCTCCCCACCAAAACAACAAAACATGCTTGACACATTCCGTTTCTGAGGACAGCTTTTATCGAATTTGCTCTCTAGACAGTTTTTGTTCCCCTGATGATGAGATTTTGTCTTCGTGGATAGTGGACCGCCGCGATAAAAACACTACGAGAACTGCGTGCTAGGAGCTGTAAAAACTTTTGGTCATTATCTCGCTGTGACATAGCACAGCCACAGTGCACGCTGCCGTTATGAAAAACACAATGTATCCTGCATTGGAAACACGCAGAAAATAGCAGTCCATGATAAAGGAACAGAACAATCCAAGAAAAATCACAGCCACTGAAAAATAACACTGCCGCTCGGCACCATCTCGATAATGGCCTGAATTACGCTGCAGTGTAGCGGGTAGATGATCGCCTGCGGATCCATAGGTTGTGTGTTCAAATCCGAATGGAGTCTGGCTTTTTTTTTCCAGAAATTACCTTGGCTCCCAGGTCGACTTTGCCTTAAGTGGGTAACAAGTAAAGCCCTGGAAAGTAAAGGTGGCTGGTATGATGTTACCACATCACCCACCAAGTGCTGATAAGTCGATAAAATAGAGCACCATATGCCCAGTACTACTGGAGGTGTAGAAAAAAGTCTTCTTACTCATGAAAAATTCACTGTTGTTATTCTTGCTTTCCATATGGGCCTATGTAACACTTTAATGACAGAGTAAACGTGAATGGTAGATATCCTTCATATTGAGAGGGAAAGAGTGATAGTTTTTATGTACAGCTTCATTGTCCAGAATGAGTAGCTGTGGCGGAGTTGCTAGATGCTTGCCTGCGGATTGGAAGGTCGCAGGTTTGCTTCCTGGCGGAGCCGGACTTTTAAAAAAAAATGACCTTGACTCCCAGATTGACCCAGCCTTGAGTGGGTGCTGGGTGCAGTCTCGGGAAGTAAAGCTGGCCGGCATGATGCTGACCACATCACCCATCTTGTACCGATTAATCTATAAAAATATATAGGTCTAGCCCTATATGCCCTGTTCATCTAAAGGTGTGGGAAAGGGAACTTTACTTCATTGTCCAGAGGGTGTGAAGTCTTGTGTGTGGATCGTATTCTTCCTTTCAAGCTCAGTATTATTGTGTGTGAATCTTTTTTTCTCTCACACAGACACGTTTTGTGGATTTTATCCAGGGAGTGTCCTGTCAATACACACACATGCATGCAAGCATGCGTGCACACACACACACACCACCCATCTAGCAAAATATGTGTGCTTTC